TGGTGGCCTGAGCAGTCATGGCTTTAGCCAAAATGTGAGACTGCTCGCTAGGGAGACAGACCAACCACCCATTAGTTCTGTTAGTTAACTTTCTGGCCAACTGTCCGCACGTGTATTTTCTCACACTCTCTCTTGCTTCTAATCTCAGGGGCATTCCAGGGTTTTGTTCAGAAAACGCACCTTTTTTGGAGTCTTTCTTTTGCTTGGTGGGGAGTATTTGTCCTCATTTTATGGGGGGTTTCCCCATTCAACTGTTCTTATCTCATCTGGGAAGAATTCCTCACTGTTTTGTCTGTCGGGAGTGTCTCTTCTAGTTTTCCAACTATGTCACAGATTTGTAGCAGATGGTCATTTAGGCGGAAACCAAGCCTGGAAACTGATTTTTTCTAAGTAAAGACTATTTCTGTGATTTAAATATCTTAGCACTTAAAGAGAATAATGTCCTTGGAAAGAACTTAACCAATGTGTTCACAATAGCACAATTTCAACTTAGTAGATTATGCAATTATTATCCTTCAAAACATACAGATTGGGATTTGCCATAACCTGGGCTATGACATCACCATGTAATATCTCCTGTATCACTCTACCCACAGGGACTACCTGATGTGGGCAATGCATCTCGCCCTGTCTGCTGGATCTACCAGCACCAGTGACAATGCGATATAGAGAATCAATCCTCAGCAACTACGGAGGGCATGATTTAGAGACAGATGATCTTTTTTTTTTTTTTTTTAAGATTTTATTTATTTAAGAGAGAGAGAGAAAAAAAAGAGAATGAGCAGGGGGAGAGGGAGAGACAGACTCCCCTCGGAGCAGGGAGCCTGACACAGGGCTGTAGGGGCCAGGGCCCAACACAGAGATCAATCCCAGGACCCTGAGATCTCAATCCCTGAGATCATAACCTGAGCCGAAGGCAGACGCTTAACAGACTGAGCCACCCAGGCACCCTTTAGAGACAGATGATCTTAAGACAAAACCTTTATCCTTTTAGAGCAATTTTTCTTTTGGATGCCTTTGGTATTTAGACTCTTGAATGGTTCATCTTCTATATTTTTCTATTTCTCCTGTCTTTTCAGTGAGATATTGGGGTGTGAAGAGAAGTACGTATGTTCAAACTGCCATTTCAAAATTGAAAAAATTTTGTTTCTTTAACTTTATTTTATTGAAGCTTTAAAAAACTTACAAAATGATACAAAAGTATTATTATTATTTATTATTATTATTTGTCTACTAAAATTCAGACAAAAAACATAGGCTGTAAAAAGAGAAAGTATCTTCTATCCCAACTTCCAAAGAGAAGGACTCCTAACAGTATTGTGCATATTTTTTCAGACTTTTTTAATGCTTCTTAAATTATATGTGATGCTTATACATACAAATTTTAATTAAGAAAAGTTTTTTTAAAAAGGAATCTCTAGGGTGCCTGGGTGGCTCAGTTGGTTAAGCGACTGCCTTCGGCTCAGGTCATGATCCCGGAGTCCCGGGATGGAGTCCCGCATCGGGCTCCCTGCTCAGCGGGGAGTCTGCTTCTCCCTCTGACCCTCTTCCCTCTCGTGCTCTCTATCTCTCATTCTCTCTCTCTCAAATAAATAAATGAAATCTTAAAAAAAAAAAAAAAAAGGAATCTCTACCCCCAACGTGGGGCTCAAACTCACAACCCTGAGATCAAGAGTCATATGATCTACCAACCAAGCCAGCCAGGCACGCTATACATCGAAATTTTAAAAGCCATACTATACAAATAGTTGTGTAATTTGCGCTTTTCATGTAATATATCATGTATATATTTCTGGGTTAGCATACATAGATCCACCTTATCCCTTTGAATATGTAAAATACTATTTCACTGGGGCTCCTGGGTGGCTCAGTTGGTTAAGCAACTGGCTTCAGTTCAGATCATGATCCCAGGGTCCTGGGATCGAGCCCTGCATCGGGCTCCCTGCTCTGCGGAAAGCCTGCTTTTCCCTCTTCCACTCCCCCTGCTTGTGTTCCCTTTCTTGCTCTCTCTCTCTCTCTGTCAATTAAATAAATAAATAAAATCTTAAAAAAATATAAAAAATGAAATACTATTTCATTAAATGGATGAACCTTAATTTAGCCAACCAAACTTATGCTATCAGACATTTATATTCTTTCCAACTTTCTTTTACAATTTTTCATATTTCTATGTATTTCATGAGAATTTCATATTAATTAACTGCTCAAATCAAGCCAAGGGTCCCCAATCATGACAAGTTTAAATGCCTATACAAAAAATTACTGCACCCCCAAATCCCAAAAGGGTTATCTGAGACATAATCACGTACCAAATCAAAGGGCATGGTTCATCTTCCAAAAGGCACAATCTAATTACTATCGGCCTTAGAAGGTACACATTCTTTCTTTTTTTTTTTTTTAAAGATTTTATTTATTTATTTGACGGAGAGACACAGCGAGAGGAGGAACACAAGCAGGGGGAGTGGGAGAGGGAGAAGCAGGCTTCCCGCGGAGCAGGGAGCCCGATGTGGGACTTAATCCCAGGACCCTGGGACCGTGACCCGAGCCGAAGGCAGACGCTTAATGACTGAGCCACCCAGGCACCCTGAACACTGCCAAACTGCCAGCCTTCCAAAAGCTGTATTTCTACCAATAGTGGATGCAAGTGCTTTTTCTCCATATCCTTTCTAACATTAGTTGTAACTATATTTTAAATGTTTGTCAAGTTGGTCAGCAAAAACCGCATCATTGAGGGGCGCCTGGGTGGCTCAGTCAGCTAAGTGTCTGCCTTTGGCTCAGGTCATGATCCCAGGGTCCTGGGATCAAGCCCCACATTGGCTCCCTGCTCAGTGGGGAGCCTGCTTCTCCCTCTCCCTCTGTCCCTCTACCGGCTCATTCTTTTTTTTTTTTTTTAAGATTTTATTTATTTATTTGAGAGAAAGAGAATGAGAGATAGAGAGCACGAGAGGGAAGAGGGTCAGAGGGAGAAGCAGACTCCCCGCCGAGCAGGGAGCCCGATGCGGGACTCGATCCCGGGACTCCAGGATCACGACCTGGGCCGAAAGCAGTCGCTTAACCAACTGAGCCACCCAGGCTCCCCCTCTACCGGCTCATTCTATCTCTCAAATAAATAAATAAAATCTGTTAAAAAAACCCCACCTCATTAAAAATTTCAGTATCATTAATTTTTAGTGATGTGGGCATCTTTCCACATTTTCATTTACCATTTTCGTTTACTTTTTGTTATACGATTTGTGGTTCCATCTCTTCCTCCAAATTAAAAGTTTTTTCTTATTGATTTGTGCAAACTCTTTGTATATTGTGGATATTAACTAATGCTTTGTCATATATGATGCACACGTTTTCAATTTATCACTTAACTTGGTTGATTTTCTCTTTGGCCTCTTATAGGTTATGTTTTTACAGCTTGTGAGGTTGGGTCTTTCTAAGCACAACTGAGATGCCAAACTGGAAAAAGGTTAAAATATTTTAACTACTTTAAAAGTAAAAATGCTAAGCAGTCTGGTTTTTATCTTGATGGCAATAGAAAGCCCTTGAAGATTTTTTAAACTGGATTTACAAGATTAGATTAGCACCAAGGATCTCTGTTTCCTGTCTTTTCCTCCTGGGGCTACCTGGCTCCCAGTTAATTCTTCACATTGGTCACAACTCTTTTTTTTTTTTTTTCTGCTCTTCCCTGTGGGTTGGTCTCTTGGCACTGGCTGTCATCAAGCCTTCTGGTATTTGGGCTGCTGGCGATGCTCTTTGGAAAGCCATGTATGCCGCACAAGCTAAGGATATGGTAAAACATACACCTTCCTAGGTGCTAGCCACCAGGAATTTAAAATCTTTTCCGCCCCTGAGAGATGGAGATAATTACTCCCATTTCTCTGGGGAGAAACTGTAATTGAGAGGCTGGGATGTGCGGATACCCAAACAGCTAGAATGGATCAGAGCAGCGATGCAAAATTGTTTCTCCTCTTACATGCTGCTTCTAAGCGCACTTTCGTGGCTGACAAACATCCGGAATACATGCTCTTTATTTTGAATTATTTCAACAATTTGAGCAACTATTATGTGCTATACCAAGTGCCTTTTTTTTTTTTTAAGATTCTATTTATTCATTTGACAGAGAGAGAGCGACAGCACGCACAAGCAGGGGGAGCGGCAGGCAGAGGGAGAGGGAGAAGCGGGCTCCCCGTGGAACACGGAGCCCGATGCGGGGCTCGATCCCAGGATCCTGGGATCATGACCCTATCCGAAGACAGTAGCCTAACCAACTGAGCCACCCAGGCACCCCGCCTTTTTTTTTTTTAATAATCTTCCTAACAACCCTTCAATGTAAGTGCTGTTATCCCCAATTTATAGACAAGAAAACTGAGGCTCAGATAAGGGAAGCGACCTGCCTAAAGCCACATAGCTAGTGGATTTTGGAGCGAGGACTCAATCCATGTCTGACTCTAGATTTAAATTTCTCACGAGGCTGAGCTGCCTCTTCCTAACAGAGAGTTTACAAAATACAGTTTGAGAAACTGGATCTGCCCCATGCTCAGGGGACACTTCACAGATGAGGTGACCTTTGAGTACTGATTTTACATTTACTGGTTATTACCAGTTGGGCACAAGATATCACCTAAGGACACCAAACCCTGCGAGGTCGGCGCTACCGGCAGTCCCAACCTTACAGACACGGAAGCTGAGCAGCAGAGGGGACCAAGGGCGGTCCAGACCCGGGCCCGATTCACCACATGGCTCTGCCTCCCACTGTCAGGCTCAACCTCGAGCCTCGACCTTTCTCGACCTCATTTCTGGGCCCCGAAGGCTGCGAGCCTCCCGGGGATGAACGGCCGGCTCTCCCTAGGAGCTCCGCCCGCTGCTCGATGAGCGGGGGGCTTAGAGACAAACCCGGAAAATGTGACCCCGGAAGCAGTCGCGGCGCCACCGGCCGCGTCTTCGGTTGCCAGAGCACCGCCCCGGAAGTACAGCTCGGCGCGCGGCGGGTCGGTCCGCGGGGCTGCGGGTGGCGTCCTCCTGCAGGCGCCGGAGTGGGGCTGGAGGCGGGGCCGGGGCGCGGCGCGGGGCCGCCTGCTCCGCGCTGCTCGGCGCAGCTTGGCGCTCTGCGCGCACAGGTGAGGCCCCGCCGCCGAGGCCGCCTCCCCCGACGAGGGTGTGGCCTGTCCTGGGTGGGCGAGTGCGCATGCGCGAGCGAGTGTGAGCGGCCGCGACCGTGTGGTTCAGGTGCTGCTGGCCGGGCCCGCGTCCTCCAGGAAGCCTGCGCTGACCACTGTGCCCCTGCTTTTCCTTCGAGTTCCTGTGACTTTCCCTGTGCTGCCCGCTCGTTGTAATTGCATTCTGATTGATATTGGTTATCCCAGAATTTCATCGTTCCTAGGCTTTTTCCATTCATTTGCAGTCTGTATTGTTTCTAATGGCATCTTTTGCAGGGTGCGGTGTACCTGTGGCGACAGCTCCGGTTAGGAGACAGATTCGTGTCCCCCGCCCTGCTTGCGCTTCTCTGCGGGATTGGATCAGGGCATCTTTCCTGTTTGTCAGCCAAAGGGGGTGGGAGGCGGAGGTAGCCGAGCACCCCATATAGAGTAGCCGGGGCGTTACAGGGGACTCGTTCTAGAATTAAAAGTATCTTACTGTTGTAAGCAGGTTAGGGTTTGCAGAGAGGTTCTTTGTTCACGAAAACATGTAATGAGCACATCTCAGTGCTGGGTTATGGCAATTACAAAGAGATTGGTCTTGCTCTGCGCCCATGGAATTACAAGCACGGCTAAATAGTTGCTGTAGAGCATGGCACTGTCTCCCAGTGGGGTGCGGAGATAGATGGTGGGGATCAGCTGTGCGGAAGTCCTCATCGACACTATTATTTATTTATTTTTCTTTAAAGATGGTACTGTTTCCATTTCAAGGAAGACTAGCTGGAAAGGAACCAAAATGCCCTAGAATCCTGACCTAGCTGGGACTTTGTTTGGAAGTGATAGTGACCAAAGTGTTTGGGGGTAGTGGGGATGGGGACAGAGGGGGTTCTCATTTTCTATGACTGGACCCAGAAAAGTGCGTTCACCCTATGAATGTAACTTCTTCCCTCTGCTTGCTGTTTCTCCTGAAATGTTGTCCTGGCTTTTGTCAGGGAGTAGTCATAACTCCGGGAAGTGAAAAGCCTTTTGGCAAAGTTCTGTCCTCCTGAGGTTGTGGGTATGGATATTCCGGAGATGCTCCCTCACTCAGTGGAGATCTGCTAAACTCCAGATCTCCTAACTCAGGCCCCCAGAAAAACCGTAGAAGTCTGGGGGTGTTTGTTTACCGCTTTCTCTCGCCTGCAGCTCTGACAGCCTCTGTAGGGCTGGGCCATGCCTGATTCACTGCTTGGCACAAACAGCGCTTCTTTGATTGTATGTGGAGGGAATCCACCTCTTTATTTTCGTTAATTCATCAAATATTGATGAGCACCTGCCATTATTAGATGCTATTCTGGATGCTGGGGGTTCAGTAGGCAATAATGCAGAACAACATTTCTGCTCTCCTGACGTGAGATATGTGTGTCAAAGATAGGTAATCACCAGGGAACCAAATACATGAACTAGATCAGTTCTTTCTCAGACTTGAGCAAGGGTAAGAATCTCACCTGAGAGCTTGTTAAGATACAGATTCCTGGGCCCCGCTCCCAAAGAGTCTGAAAGTGTGCATCTGTGTAGGGGTTGGGGGAAGCGCAAGAGTCTGTATTTTTTTTTTTTTTAAGATTTTATTTATTTAGTTGAGAGAGACAGAGACAGGGAGAGAGCAGGAGCAGGGAGGAGAGGGAGAAGCAGGCTCCTCGCTGAGCTGGAAGCCCAGTGTGGGACTTGATCCCAGGACCCTGGGATCATGACTTGAGCAGAAGGCAGGCGCTTAACAGACTGAGCCACCCAGGCACCCAAGAATTTGTATTTCTAACGAGCTCCCGGTGATGCTGGTGCTGTGGGTTGATGGGCCATGCTTTGATTTGGCGCTGGACTAACAGTCGTGTGCAGCCTGGGTGCCTCGGAGAAGTAAAGTGTGATGAGTGGGGAGCAGTGAGCTTGGCATTGGGAAAGCCACTCTGAAGAGTTGACCTTTGAGAAGGGGCCAGATGTGGGGGAGAGCAAAGCCTTAAGACAGGGTGCAGCTTGGTGGGTGTGGGGAGGTGAAAGGCGGCCCGGAGCTGAAGAGGGCTGATGGGTGGGGAGGGTGCTGGAGACAAAGCCCTAAAGATGATGGGGAGCCCACCCATCATCTGGGTGCCACATGTGGGGTCCACATTGTAGGTAATGGGCAGACTGATGGTTTTATTTTGGGGGCAATGGAAGCTCCTGGAGGCTTATGAGCAGGGTGACATGATTTGCTTTGTGCGTGTGAGAGGATCAGTCTGCTTCTAGGCAGAGAATGGGTGCCGCGGGGTGAGGATGGCGCTAAGGAAACCAGCGGAGTCTGCTGTGGTCGTCCAGGATGGTGGGGACGCTGGGGAGAAACACAGACAGATCTGGAATCTTCTGGAGTAGACCTGGCACAATCCGCTGCTGGATGAATTAATAGTCACTTCCCCCTCAGAACCACAGTTGAGCTTTGTTGGATTGTTAAGGCACCTTGCTGCTGGGGCTTCCAGCTTGTTAAATGACTGTCTTGTCTCCCTGGATCAAGACTGTCCAGGAACACCTCGTCCCAGGTGGCTTCACGTCTCCTGTCGCCGAGTGGGTGGGTGAGAAGCTAGGCTGTCGAAGCGCAAACACCGAGGGCTGTCCCCATGGAAACCTGTCCTCAGTCTTATGAAGGTCCTGCCCACCGGCCCCGGGAGGGGGATGCACATCACGTTCTTTTTTTTTTTTTTTTTTTTTTTTAAAAATTTTTTTTATTTATTTGAGAGAGAGAGAGAACGAGAGATAGAAAGCACGAGAGGGAAGAGGGTCAGAGGGAGAAGCAGACTCCCTGCTGAGCAGGAAGCCCGATGTGGGACTCGATCCCGGGACTCCAGGATCATGACCTGAGCCGAAGGCAGTCGCTTAACCAACTGAGCCACCCAGGCGCCCGCACATCACGTTCTGAACGTAGCCCGCTGCCTGCTTTGAGAATGCCTTTCCCCGGCTGACGGACTTCAGGTGGTGACAGCCCACCGGGATTCGAGCAGGGTCAACATGACGGCACACAACTAACTCTGTTTCTCTGGGTTAGGTTTTATGATGCTCAGTTTTGGTTTTTTAACTTTTTTTTTTCAAATTTTTATTTATTCTAGTTTTTTTTTTTTTAAAGATTTTATTTATTTATTCAAGAGAGAGAATGAGATAGAGAGCATGAGAGGGGGGAGGGTCAGAGGGAGAAGCGGACTCCCCACTGAGCAGGGAGCCCGATGTGGGACTCGATCCCGGGACTCCAGGATCATGACCTGAGCCGAAGGCAGTCACTTAATCAACTGAGCCACCCAGGCGCCCAATTTATTCTAGTTTGTTAACATACAGTCTAATATTGGGTGCAGGAGTAGAATTCAGTGGCTCATCAGTTCCATACAACACCCGGTGCTCATCACCAGTGCCCCCCTTCATCCCCATCACCCATCTAGCCTGTCCCCCACCCACCTCCGGCAACCCTCAGGGTGTTGCCATCGTTAAGAGTCTCTTATGGTTTGTTTCCCTCTCTCTTTTCTCCCCCCTCCTATATGTTCACCTGGTTTGTTGTTGTTGTTGTTCACTTGTTTTGTTTCTTTTTTTTTTTAAAGATTACTTATTTATTTATTTGAGAGAGAGAATGAGATAGAGAGAGAGAGAGCATGAGAAGGGGGAGGGTCCGAGGGAGAAGCAGACTCCCTGCCGAGCAGGGAGCCCGATGTGGGACTCGATCCCGGGACTCCAGGACCATGACCTGAGCTGAAGGCAGTCGCTTAACCAACTGAGCCACCCAGGTGCCCCACTTGTTTTGTTTCTTAAATTCCACATATGAGTGAAATCATATAGTATTTGTCCTCTGACTGACTGATTTTGCTTAGCATAACACCCTCCAGTTCCATCCACATTGTTGCAAATGGCAAGCTTTCATTCTTTTTGATGGCTGAGTAATATTCCACTGCATAATATCCCACTTTTTTTTTTTAAAGATTATTTATTTATTTATTTATTTGACAGAGAGAGAGAGATCACAAGCAGGGGGAGGGGCAGGCAGAGGGAGAAGCAGGCTCCCCGCTGAGCGGAGAGCCTGACATGGGGCTTGATCCCAGGACAGGACCCTGGGATCTTGATCTGAGCTGAAAGCAGATGCTTAACCGACTGAGCCACCCAGGCGCCCCATATCCCACATCTTCTTTATTCCTTCGTATAATGCTTAGTTTTGAAAGTAGTTGACTGAGGGTACCTGGGTGGCTCAGTCGGTTAAGCATCTGCCTACGGCTCAGGTCATGATCTCAGGGTCCTGGGATGGAGCCCCCGCATCGGGCTCCCTGCTCAGCGGGGCGTCTTCTTCTCCCTCTCCCTCTGTGCCCCCCCTCTCAAATTAATAAATAAAATATTAAAAAAAAAGATTTTTTTTTTAAAGCAGTAACCTACCAAGTTCATTACATGGTACTGCTAACCTCACTTTCCCCCCCCCCCCACTGTTTTAGGACGAAGTAACAGGAGAATAGTCTGACATCAGGTATTTCTTTATTGATTTTTCTAAGGGAAAGGGCTTAGTATTTCTTAGGGTTGGGAAGGAGTCAGTCCCGGCTTCTGTGCTGTGGGGATGGGCTAGCTGGTTCCTTTGTCTGTTCTGCAGACCATTTCTGAGCCCCCTCACTGTGCCTGGCTCTGGATGGGTGCTGGGGGGATAGAGACCGATCAGCCCACCCCCTGCCCTGCGGGGTAAACGGACAGTTGACAGAGTGTGGAAGGGAGGCAGTGTGGGTGTCCACTCTGCCTGTCATTGAGCCCCACTTTATCCATGTGTAAATGGGGAGAATACCTGCCTACCGGCAGCATGTGAGCCAAAGGGATGTATGTAGTAGAGAAGAATATGCACAGACTGCCCCGCCCTGTGCCTGACGGATCCTGGTGCTTCATATAAGTGGTAGCTGTTGTTTCGGGTGACAGTAGAAATATGGAATTACTTCCTCCTCGAGGGCGGGGCTGGACTACAGCACCGGGCCAGGAGCCGGGCAGGCCCATTGTAAGTAGGGGCTGAAGTGGAGGAGTGTGCAGGGCTGAATCGGGGAGAGCTGATGTGCTTGTTTCAGGTCCGCTGTGGTGCACCATGACCACACCTGCCTGACCTTGCAGTAATCTCAGCCCTACTGCGAAGGCCCTGTGGCTCTCATTCCCATTTTTTTCCATGGGAGAAATGGAGGCCCCAGGAAAACTCGCGAGTCCCCATGGACGTGAGCAGGGGAAATGAACGAGTCTCCAAGCTTCAGGTGCAGAGTAACTGCTGTCCCTCCTTTGGCTCTGCTGAGGCTGCCTTGTTACTGGTTCTCAGTGCTGGTTATCATGCTGGTCTGGTGCTTTTCTGGAAAGAGGTCCTTCGTCTCTTTAAAGGAGAAGTGGCCTTAGTTCATTTCTTTTTCTTCTTCTTTTTAATCATAAATAGCTGTTTTGTCCTTTTGCTCATCACTTTACTGTGCTGTCTCCCACATATATATTTAAAATTCTTTATGGATGTAAATTTCTTCTTTTTCTTCTCATGCCTAGGATGGTTCTATCTTGTATTAGTTTCCTAGAGCTGTAATATAAAAAGTGCCATGAAGTGGGTGGCTCAGTGAGGCCAGAAGTCTGAAATCAAGGTGTTGGAGGAGCCATGTTCTCTCCGAAGAATCTAGGGAGGAGTCCTTGTCTCCTCTAGCTTGTGGTGGACCCAGACTTTTCTTGGCTTGTGGCTGCATAGCTCTCATCTCTGCCTTCATGTTCACGTGGCCACCTTCCCTGTGTGTCTATGTGTCCCTGCGTCTAGATTTCCTCCTTCTTCTTTTTTTTTTAAGTAATCTGTATGCCCAATGTAGGACTTGAACTCATGACCCTGAGATCAAGAGTCACATGCTCTACCAACTGAGCCAGCCAGGCGCCCCTCAACATATCTTTTTTGGGGATACGATTCAACCCATAACATTTACAGGGAAGTGACTCTTGAAAGCAGAGAGTCAGATTCAAAGGACTGACCCTTGGGGCCGTGTGTGTTCCCTCACTTTTGCAAGGAGTAGGCATTGTTTGCCTCCTGTGTCCAGTGGGCTCAGTACTGGAGATAATGGTGCCGGCCAAAGGGACTGTGAGCGTTCTTGTAAGTGCTCACACCTAAACCTAGAAAGAGTTGGTGGGATGAGAAGGAAGCAGGTGATGAAGAGAGTCCTCACCTTGCACACTTACAGAAGGAAAGTAGACAAAGAATGAATACGCAAGGTAGGAAGTTCTGTGTGCCGGCAAAGATGGCAGGGGAGGTATTCAGAAGGTTCATTGGAGGGAAAAGGCGATGAGAATGGCTTCCTGGGGGAGGTGGCCTTTGAATTGCACCTTTGTGATTGGCGGAGCTGGATGAGAAGCAGCGGGGAGAGCACCACAGCTGTGCATGTGTGCAGAACAGCAAGGAGGTGGGGTGTTCGGCTGAAGCAGGGGGCGTGTGAAGTGAAGGAGTGACAGGGAGGCCCCAAAAGTCCAATGGGAGTCAAAAAGTAATAGAATTCAGGGCGCCTGGGTGGCTCAGTTGGTTAAGCGAGTGCCTTCGGCTCAGGTCATGATCCTGGAGTCCTGGGATTGAGTCCCGCATCGGGCTCCCTGCTCAGCAGTGAGTCTGCTTCTCCCTCTGACCCTCCCCTCTCTCATGCTCTCTCTATCTCATTCTCTCTCTCAAATAAATAAAATCCTTAAAAAAAAGGCAATAGAATTCAGAAGTATTTATCACAATAAGAAAAGAACTCAAGGCATCTCGTGCCACGCTCTTGTTCGGCAGAATACGCGGTTTTGCTGTGTTCCCAAACTCTCTCTCGGTCCTGCGTTGTGTACATTTTGCCTGTGTGTTAATTTTGTTTTAGGTACGAACCCGAAGCAGGAGTCCCTGAAGCTGAAGCGAAATTGGCTGTGCCTGTTGGCTCCAGAAGTACCTATGGTGGGTCCAGCCTGAGAGGTTGGTTTTCTTAGCGCCCATGGTCCCAGATGGCAGAAGTGGGGGTGGGGGGACAGCAAGAAAACCTCACCTCGGAGGCTCCATGTCGTGCTCCATAAAGTGAGGATGAGAGTATCTGCCCTTCTCTGCCTTATTGGGTTCGGGGATCATACCCGGGAAGCATTTTCTGACTGTTAAAGCACAGCCCCATTAGTGCCCTTGCTGGGTCACCCCGGGTGGCTCAGCGTCTATGCCAGGTGGCCGTGCACTGAGACGTGGGATTTCAGCCGGGGAGGGCTTGTGGGGGATGATGGTGGTGGTGTGGACATTGTCTGCCTGGGGGGTGGTTCTCCCCCCAAATACCCGAGCCTGCAGTTGGACTCTAGGGGGCAGAGTTGGAGCAGGATTGGGCAGGGCTGCCGGGCTGTGGGGGCTGAAGTCAGGTAGAGAACCGGTAAACTCGCTGGGGCTCCGCGGCGGGTTTGGACACTGGCTGGGGTTAGCTCGGTGAGGGCGTTATGGGGTGACAGTGCGTGGGGATTCCGTTCCTGTGATGCTTCTTCCAGCATTTCTGTGAGGCAGCTGCTGACTTTCCACGTTAACAGCCTCATATTGTTACAGGACAACATCTCGTTCTGCAGAGAGCGATTCTGTGTATTCCTTACCTTGGTCGACCCTGTGGGCATGGTCATCATCCTGATGAAGGCCAGGTTCAGAGGGAGGCAGTGGACTGTGTGAAAAGAGGTAGCACTTCAGAGTAGGGTCACCTGGCTCAAATCAGGGCTCCATGACTCCCTTCAGTCTGATTCTTTTTTTTTTTTTTTTTAAGATTTTATTTATTTATTTGACAAAGAGAGACACAGCCAGAGAGGGAACACAAGCAGGGGGAATGGGGGAGGGAGAAGCAGGCTTCCCGCTGAGCAGGGAGCCTGATGCGGGGCTCGATCCCAGGACCCTGGGATCATGACCTGAGCCGAAGGCAGACGCTTAATGACTGAGCCACCCAGGCACCCCGAGTCTTAACCTTTGAGCCTCAGCTTCCAAATCCATAAAGGGGGGGTGATTGCAACAGTAATACCAAATATTTTTTGAGTGCTTTCTCCGTGCCGGACACTGTTCTCACTGTTCACTCATTTAATCCTCATTGTAACCAGGTGAGATGGGTAGATACTGTTGGTACAAATAAGGAAACAGAAGTTCAGAGAGGTTAAGTAACTTGTCCAGAGTCACACAGCTCATCATGAGTTTTGGAACTGGGCCTCAAACTCAAGTCCCACCTCTGCGACACTGCCATTGCTGGGCGGGGTGAGGAGGCAGTGGGCTGATTTTGTGTGAAAGCTCCATGGGAGTGCCTTCTCTCTCCCTCTCCCGAGGCAAGGCAAACCTGGGTCCCCATCTTTTAACTTTCTCTAAGTCACACAGTGGTGCTGACAGGCCCCAGGCCATAGTCAGTCAGTCTGAATGGAGCATCTACCACATGCCGGGCGCAGGGCTAGGCCCTGGGCCCAAAGCAGCGAAGAAGAAAGCCAGCTCCCTGCCTCTGGCAGCGGCAGGGGTGCAGGAGTACCGAACGGCTGTGTACTGGGTCTGGAGTCAGGGAGGCTTTGTGGAGGAAGTAACGTTCCCTAATGCTGGCAGATGAGTGGGCAGCCGCTTTGCCAGGCCTTGAGGGAGGGGGAGTGCCACAGGCACAGACACCCACCCAGCATGTGCCAAGGCCCTGAGGCAGAGTGTGGGCAGAGAAGTCCAGTGTGGCGAGAACACAGCAGGTGAAGGAGAAGCAGGTGAGGGCCAGGGGTCTGTGTATCTTAAGTGCACTGGGGAGCCACGGAGGCTAGTAAATGGGAGTGATGTGGTCAGATAAACACTTAAAGGTCACCTGCACTTACAGAGAGTGACTTGGAGCAGGGCAGAGGAGGAAGCAGGGAGGTGGCGGCACTGGATGGGAATGAGGGTGCTCATGTTGGGATAGGCTCCCACCCATCCTTCGGGAGCCAGCTCCAGGGCCCTCTGCTGAGGGCGGTCTTCCCCAGCTACCCTGCGTAGGCCACCTCCGGCCTCGGCTCTCACAGTCCAGGTGCTGCCTCTGCCTCGTGGCTCCTGTCACAATGGCGATGCACATCGGGTAGTAACTGTTTGATCGCTGCCTTCCCCCCAGTAGGCCAGGATTTCTTAGTCTTGGCACAGTTGACATTTTGGCCTGGGTGACTTGCTGGGGGGGGGGGGGCGTCCCATATGCTGTAGGGTGCTGGACAGCATCGTGGCCTCTACTCACTAGATGCTGGAGGCCTCCCCACCCCCAGCTGTGACAACAGATGACATGGCCAGGTATCTCAGCCAGATGGCTGAGAACCACGGCTCAGGCAGGTGGATCTTGGGATATGCCAGGGGAAGTGTCCTGCTGTTGACATTTCCAAGCTCTAACAAGTTGACCTCTTCCAGGATTATGGCAGGAAAAGTGAAATGGGTCACTGATATCGAGAAGTCAGTGCTGATAAATAACTTTGAAAAGAGAGGATGGATCCAAGTGACGGAAAATGAAGATTGGAACTTCTACTGGTAAGTGGAAAAAGCAGGATTTGATTGTTTTTCCCGAAGCCTGCTTGTCAGTCTTGGGAAAGCTGGTAGCCCAGGTGCTGGCTGCGTTCGAGAGGGGCGCCTCCCATTGCACATCTTCCACCCCAAGGCTCCTCAGGAGCACACGACGAGAAAGCCCTTTGTTTGTCCACGTTGTGGAGTGTTCCCACACTCCCATTTATCAGCCCGGCATCAGAAGTCCTGGGACGTTTCCGCACAAGCTGGCATGGCTCAGACAGCCAGGGTTTGGGTGAGAAGCCAGAGCCCCTCCGGCTGGCGTTCTTAGTCAGTGCCTTTGCCCAGCGCCGGGGAAGGGGGCTGTGGAGCGGGGATCTGTGCCTCCCTTCGCTTCCTCGGGTGCCAGTGGGACTGGTTAACAACAGCTGAAAAGTGAGTGACACGAGGAGTGGGGAGGCGGGGCTCGGCACTGAGCCCCTGGTGGCGCTTCACCCAACTGGAAACACGGGGGGTTGTCCTAGACTCCTGCCCCACCCTGCCTCCCCCCTCTTCATGGGGTGAGGTCCTGTGTCCTCCTTTGTCCAGGCCTGGGCTGCGCCCTGCCTCGGGGCGGCCTCTACCCTCTGGCAGTGTTATATGCCAAAACACAGCCTCCCATGGTTGCCTCTGCCATCCCCAACCCTCTTCAGTTCCTATGCCCGGAACGTTGGGTGAATCTTTGAGGGAGGGAGAGCTGGTGGGTCTCTGGAGGCTTTTTTTTTTTTTTCCTTTTAAGATTTTATTTTTTTGTCAGAGAGAGAGCACAAGCAGGGGGAGCGGCAGGCAGAGGGAGAAGCAGGCTCCCGCTGAGCAAGGAGCCCAGTGTGGAACTCGATTCCAGGACCCCGAGATCATGACCTGAGCTGAAGGCAGATGCTTAACTGACTGAGCCATCCAGGCGTGCCTGGAGGCTTTTTTACCCTATGCATCCATCCGCCCTCCCTGAGATCCGCTCCCTGCTGCTGCCTTGAGAGATGTTACTCGGCCTCTTTCCAGCCACTTCCTTCTCTCTCATGCCCCAGTGCAGCGGTCGGCACTTTTTCCCCAGTTGACCTTCTAAGACATTCTTGCTTCTGCAACTTTGTGAAGCCTGTGCTTTCTGCCCCCTCAGCCCAGGCTCGAGAGGTGCAGTGCACCTGGCGGTTAGATGTGCAGACCCCGGAGCCAGGTCATGCCTGGCTTCCCAGCCTGGCTCTCCCACTGCTGTCTGTGTGGCCATTAGCAAAGGACTTGACCTTTCTCTGCAAATACGGTTGTTTGAAGTTTGAATGAGTCAGTAAAGCACAGAGCGTGGCATGTGACGGGTGCTCCGTAAGCATGTGCCGGCGCTGTCTGCAGGCCCCAGCACACGAGCTGCCTGCGCCGGAGGCTGCCGTATCTCTCCTGATGGCCCAGCCTGCTTTCTCAGCTGTCATGCAGTGAATGCTACGTGCCATGATTTGTGATTTCCCCGCCTCTGCCCTCATTACGTGTGACTGCGAGCCTCATGACAGTGAGGACCTTGTCTGGCTTACTCCAGCATCCCAGAGCCTGGCATTGGCCCCGATGCAGAGTAGACTGGCCCCCAGCTTCCATCTCCAGCAGTGATTAGAGGGATGACCCTTTCTTTGCTCCTGTAGCAGTTTAAGGTACCCGTGCTTTAAACCAAAACCTAATTTCTCTTGAGGAGCATGTAATGCTGGCAGAAAGAAATGCAGCCCCCGTGTGTGGTTTGGCATCACATTTATATTCTTCTCTAAAGTAGAATAAAATAATACAGCCAGAGCTCTGCTTCCCTAGGAGCTCTGAAAGAAAGGCTGAATAAGAGTGTTTTATCAGGGCGCCCGGGTGGCTCAGTCGGTGAAGCGTCTGCCTTCGGCTCAGATCATGATCTTGGGGTCCTGGGATCGAGCCCGGGGTTGGGCTCCCCGCTCAGCGGGGAGTCTGCTTGTCCCTCTGCCCTTCCCCCTCTCGTGCTCGCTCAGGTGCGCGCTCTCTCTCTCAAATAAATAAAATCTTGAAATGCCATTTAAAAAAGGAGTGTTTTTTACTTACTGCTTTGTGTCCCACGGCTCTGTGCCATGGGCTTAGCCAGCCCTCAGTCCTTTTGGCTTCTCTGATTAATCAATGCTTGGGAGGGTGGAGGGCGCCTCCCTTCTTCATGCCACATGAAGCATTTTGGAGCTAGTCTTAACGAGAGAGAGAGAGAGAGAGTAAAGAGTGGAACTGTATAACTTTGGATATTTGATCTCTTCAGAGCTCCTGTTTTAAGCACTAAGCGTCCCATCAAGTCCTAACAATTGGTTCGGGTAAAAATACTGGCAACAACTAAATATTAAATGGTTATAGGGAAAGGTACGCATGTTAACTGGGTGGATTATGGTATAGCTATTAAAACAACTGTGACAGTTCTAAAGCAATTTGGAAAATTGTATAAGAATAAATATAAAGAAAAACATATTATGAAACTGTATTTGTGTTCTGCTCTCAGCTTGCCTATGGGCAGGAAGTAGGAGCAATGTGAAACACGAAAGCCATTGCTATCTTAGTGTGGGTGTATTAGCTATCTGATGGCCAGACTGATGCCGTGTAACAGACACCACAAAACCCTGGGCTCGAAACAACCATTTTCTTTTTCTTTTCTTTCTTTCTTTTTTTTGAAGACTTATTTATTTGAGAGAGAGAGAGCATGAGCCAGGGGAGGGGCAGAGGGAGAGGGAGAAGCAGGCTCCCCGCTGAGCCGGAAGCCCAATGTGGGGCTCGAGCCCAGGACCTTGGGATCACGACCCGAACCAAAGGCACTTAACCAACTGAGCCACCCAGGCACCCCTCGAAACAACTATTTTTATAGCACATGCGTTTTTAGGTTTGGCTCAGTGGTACTTTTAGATCAGCAGGACTTAGCTGATCCTGCCTGGGCTCACCCGTGCATCTGCTGTCACCTAGGGGGGTCAGCAGGGGCTGGTCTGCTCTTGGGTGCCCTTGGCTAGGACCACAGCGGCTTCTCTCCACAAAGCTCTCCCCGTCCCTCTGGCCAGCGAGCTTGGGCTCGCCCTCCTGCAGTGGCGAGGGTCCAGGAGGGAGGGCAGAAGCTCTGCAGGCCTTTCAGGGCGAGTCTCCAAGTGGCACACCATCGCTTCTGCCACATTTTTGACCAAAGCGAAGCCAAAGTGAGACGTGTCTGGGCCCAGACCTTAAAAAACTAGCAGCTTCCCCTTCTTTTATGGGAACCCTCTGTGAGAGCCCCAGGCCGCCATGTGAGAAGCCTGACTACTGGGACTTTCTTGCTGGAGGAGCCGTGTATAGGGGTTGTGTGTGGCAGCTGCAGCCAGGCCTGGCCTTCCAGCCATGCCCACCAAGGTGCCAGACATGAACGAAGCCTCCTTGGACCCTCCAGATTGGATCATACGCTGAATACTCCCAAGTGGCCTCAGTCAGTGTCACATGGAGCAGAAGCATGCTCCCCTGAGCCCCGGCCCCAGTCTTGATCCACAAAACCATGGGATGTGATTCAGTGGTTGTTGTCTGAAGTTGCTAACATGGGGCAATTTGCTTTGCAGTACTCGATACCCAGAATATATCTCATCACATGACCTGATGATGGTAGGGAACCAGCTCATTATTTTATTTTATTTTATTTTTTATTTTTTTTTAAGATTTTATTTATTTATTTGAGAGAGAGAATGAGAGACAGAGAGCGCATGAGAGGGGGGAGGGTCAGAGGGAGAAGCAGACTCCCCGCCGAGCAGGGAGCCCGATGCGGGACTCGATCCCGGGACTCCAGGATCATGACCTGAGCCGAAGGCAGTCGCTTAACTGACTGAGCCACCCAGGCGCCCCCAGCTCATTATTTTAAAACCTGATAAATGGAAAAAATCAAGCATTTCATTAGTCTTTCCTGTATGAACTATGTTTTGGGTATCCAAATTGTTGATGAAGGGAAACTTCTCCTTGTAGAGATACTCCTGCTAATACATGAAGGAGCAATGAAAACGTAGAAATACACCCATTTTGCCTCCATTAATTACATAGGAGTCTAGGCCTGCCCAGTACGAGAGCCACTGACCACAGGGCTGATGAGCACTTAAATGTGGCTGGTCCAAATGTAGATGTGGCCCAAAATCGACCTGTAGCTCCTAGGCCTCGTGGTCTGACTCCTGATTTACTGGCAGCATGTGGAGGGAGGGTGGGTAGGGTGGGGGGCGCCAGCGTAGCCGTGCTAAGTAAGGAACATGTGAGGACCCCTGGAGGACCTGGAGGATGGGTGACCCAGGATCTTCAACAAATAAATAACATAGAAATAAAAGGAGGGAAAATACAGATTGAAAGAGCCATGGGAGAGAGAACAGCGCATCAGAAGGTCTGGCCTTTATTTGCACAAGCTGTAAAAAATATTTATCAGGGGCGCCTGGGTGGCTCAGTCATTAAGCGTCTGCCTTCGGCTCAGGTCTTGATCCCGGGGTCCTGGAATCGAGCCTCGCGTCAGGTTCCCTGCTCAGTGGAGAGCCTGCTTCTCCCTCTCCCACTCCCCCTGCTTGTGTTCCCTCTCTTGCTACGTGTCTCTCTGTCAAATAAATAAAATCTTAAAAAAAAAAAACATTGTCAGACAACTTGGGAAATGTGAGCATGGATTAATTTTTGATGATACTCAGAAATGACTACTTTTTTTTTTAGAAAAAAATTTTTTTTAAGATTTTATTTATTTATTTGAAAGACGGAGAATGAGAGAGAGCACATGAGAGGGGGGAGGGTCAGAGGGAGAAGCAGACTCCCCGCTGAGCGGGGAGCCCGATGCGGGACTCGATCCTGGGCCTCCAGGATCATGACCTGAGCCGAAGGCAGTCGCTTAACCAACTGAGCCACCCAGGCGCCCCAGAAATGACTACTTTTTTTTAGTTGTGATAACAATGTAAAGTAGGATATTGTATAACACAAAAAAGAGTCCTTAGCGATTAGAGATTCTGATAGGAATGTTTTGGGTGGGCCGTTGTATCTGGAAATCGCTCCCAAATAAGCCGGTGCTGTGGGGTGTGGGTGGGCTATGGTCAAAACAGCCGCCAACGCCAGTAATGGGGCTCTTGTGCATTTTTCTCTCTGCTTTTGTGTGTGGTCGAGCTCTTTCATAATAAAACATTTTAAAACTCCCATTATTCCAGTGTCCATAGAATCAAAAGGAACCCTTTGGGTCCTCGAGGCCCTCCGGGGCGGATGGCGTGGGTCAGGGCCAGGAGCGAGAAGCCATAGACAGCCCGCCTCGCCTGCGGCCGTGGCTCCCTAGTGAGGGCCAGTGCTGTTCTTCCTCCTCCCTCCCTGCCTCTCTCTGGGCTGGGAGGGCGGGGGGGGGGGGGTGGCCGGGAGACTGGCTTTCTTAGAGGATTAGAAGGAACCCCTTAAGCTTTCACCCCTCCTCATTTCACTTGAGTGCTAGCCCATCGGAGGTCTCTGCAAGAATATGAAGTACTGACCCAGGGCCCTCAAATCACCCTGTGATTTCGATTTAAAGTGGTCCCTGTCCTTGACTTTGGGTGAAGATATTGTGTAAATGATTTTCCCGATTTCAGAGTCTGGAGGAGGTTCTTTCATTGGCTTGTTATCCACAATCAATGGTACCCTTAATCGATAAGCATTTATGGAGCATATACTCTGTGTTGGGGAGTGAAACCATCCACTGTAGAGACTCAGAACTGTCCAGAGACCAGAACCCAGCTGGTCACTAGACACCGCCCTGGGCCGCACTCGGCCAGGCATCTCCTGGCCTGGGTGCTGGGGGTTGGGGGAAATGGGTAAGCCCCTGCGGTCACCAGCTTTTGAGAGAACTGCCACCACGTGGACCTGCTCTGAGCTTTTGCTCTGCACGCCCCTTCTGTGCTTCCCTTTTAGGATGAGTGTGCAAACCATCCGAAACGTTTTTAGTGTCGAAACTGGCTATCGGCTCTCAGACGATCAAATAGTCAACCATTTTCCAAACCACTACGAACTGACCCGGAAGGACCTGATGGTGAAGAATATTAAAAGATACAGGAAGGAGCTGGAGAAGGAAGGGAGTCCTCTAGCAGAAAAAGACGAAAATGGGAAATACCTCTATCTGGGTTTGTGTCTTTCCTTTTTTTTTTTTTTTTTAAGATTTTATTTATTTATTTGAGAGAGAGAATGAGAGAGAGAGAGCACGAGAGGGAAGAGGGTCAGAGGGAGAAGCAGACTCCCAGCTGAGCAGGGAGCCCGATGTGGGACTTGCTCCCGAGACTCCAGGATCATGACCCGAGCCGAAGGCAGTCGCTTAACCGACTGAGCCACCCAGGCGCCCTGGGTTTGTGTCTCTCTCGCTGGCCCCACGTTTCAAACACATCCCTGAGTTCACTAGTGACACCAGGTACTGAGATGGTGACATGCTTGTGCCGGCTGGGCTGGGCACCTCTTTTTCATTCCACGTGTCTCCAGAATGGCAGGGCGGGGGCTCACGTTTGGATCTGAGTTTCTGGGAGCGCTGTGGGAACACAGTGCATGTGAGGAAGAGCACGTCCTCAGTACTCAGAGCTCAGTGCTCATCCGGAACTGCAAGCTGCATTTTGTCATGCAGGCTCATCACTGCATCTGGCGGTTCCCAGGGAGAAGTGAGTCCCTGATCCGTCTGGTGGTAGAAGCTGGACTGTCAGATGGTTTCAGAATCCCTCTACATACCCGGGAAAATTAGATAACCAATCTCTCGGGGCCTCAGTTCCCTCATCTGATAAATGGAGATAATAACAGGACCTAGCCCAAGGGGGCCGTGGGGATTAAAGGTTTGCGAAGTGCTCAGCACACAGGTGATAAGGTTATCGTACAAGAATTGAATGGCAGAGGGGCTTGTCCTTTCGATACTGGCTTGGGGAGGGGGGTGGCGTGAAGCAGCCTCAGAAAAAGCAGTGGCCATGTTTTCCTGCCCATGGCCACGTTGGCCTGGCTCACCCACTGCTGTCCTCTCTGTTTCCCCTTTCAGACTTTGTTCCGGTCACCTACATGCTGCCCGCTGACTACAACCTGTTCGTGGAGGAGTTCAGGAAGAGCCCCTCCAGCACCTGGATCATGAAACCTTGTGGCAAAGCCCAGGGGAAGGGCATCTTTCTGATCAACAAGCTCTCACAGATCAAAAAGTGGTCCCGGGACAGCAAGACTTCTTCGTGAGTGCATGGCCCGCCCATCCCGGGGGCTTCCGAGTTAGGAGTTCCAGGCCACCTGTCAGTCTTGGCTGGGGGCTGGGGACCCTTGCTTGCTTTTGTAGTGTATGGCATTTGCCACGTGGCACCACGGCAGGGTTCTGTGTCTGCAGTCGTGTGATTGATTGTAGGATCCCACCTGAGGCAAGTTGCAAAGAAAAGTGGTGTGTGAACCAGCATACGGTCCCAGGAGCGGGGACCCCTGTGGGCCACTCTTTGTTCTGGAAGTTTCTGTGAGACCCGCTCAGTCCTGGTATTTCTGAGGCAGTGAAGCATCTGCTTAGGATCTGGGCCCAGGGTATGTAGGTTTGAATCCCTGTCTACACTTACTGTCTGAGTACCTTTTGTTTCGGTAGACTTTTAACATGCTTCATCCAGGTAAATGGGGGATGCCAATAGCACCACCCTCACGGGGGCAAGATGGGGATGGAACAGGTGAATCCATGCGAGGCACATGGGAGTGTGTGCGATCAGTGGCACGGGTGGCGCTAGGCGGTGTCACGTCAGCTCTCTGCTGGGGCTTGAGGTCTCCTTGGAACTCAGGATACCAGGCCAGGGGGTTTTGTCTGGGGCTCACCCTGCCTCGGAGGGTCCTGACCCGCTCAGAGATGCTGGACTGTGAGTCTCTCCTGGAGGGCTGGTGGCTCACTGTCAGGGTTCCTAGGAGTGACAAGGGTCACCTTTTCCTCATGCAGAGCACTTAAGTCTGAGTGCACACTGCTGACCCCCACGTGGGTCAGGCCCAGGGAGCACGTCCCTGATGGGTTCCCAGAGACTACTGGCACTGTCCTCCGGGGCAGGGGCACAGCTTGGGGGCTTCTCCATGGACCCACCTGACCCCCATTTTCTCCCTGACACACCGGCCTCTCACTTAATGAGAGGCAGAGGGCTTGTTACCAACCTTTGGTCTTTGCCATCTAACTTTGACCTTCTCTGATGTGTTTAGGTTTGTGACGCAGTCTACTAAGGAAGCCTACGTGATCTCTCTCTACATTAACAACCCACTGCTCATTGGCGGGAGGAAGTTTGACCTGCGCTTGTATGTTTTGGTGTCTACGTACCGCCCGCTGCGCTGTTACATGTAAGAGCCGATGGGGTTCTGTCTCGAGCTTTGACACGCCCAGAGTAGGCAGCTCTTCAGAGGCAGAAAGTAGATTAGCGTTTGCCCAGCCCTGGCTGGGGGAGTGACTGCTAATGGTCACAGGCTTTCTCTGTGGGGCGACGAACACGGGAAATTGAGTGTGGTGGTCATTGCGCACCTCTGAGGGTACCAAGAACCAGTCAGCTGTGCGCTGTAGGGGGAAGTGTTCTGTGGCATGTGAATTATATCTTAGTACGACTCTTATAAAAAAAACAACATAAAAAAGCAGCTCTTTTAGAGGCTTAAAACCAAAAAAGGGGCTCTTTTAAGAGGACAAAGTATTATATATATATATATATATATTTTTTTTTTGAGAGAGAGAGAGAGAGAGAGAGCACAAGCAGGGGCAGAGGGAGAGGGAGAAGCAGGCTCCCTGCGGAGCAGGGAGCTTGATGTGGGGCTCGATCCCAGGACCCCGGGATCACAACTTGGGCTGAAGGCAGACGCTTTACTGACTGAGCCACCCAGGCGGCCCCTGAGTGTTGTATTTTCTTTATGCTTCTCCTCCAAGTGTTGAAGTAATGTAACTTCCCACATAGGTACAAGCTCGGATTTTGCCGCTTCTGCACCGTGAAGTACAGCCCGAGCACCAGTGAGCTGGACAACATGTTCGTTCACCTTACCAACGTCGCTATTCAGAAACATGGGGTAAGTGTGTCCCTTCCCTCCAGCAGAAGGAAATGGACCCTTTTGGTGGGCTTCATTCTATTTGTGTGAGAGGGCAGGCGGCTACAGGAGTGGAATTCCAGATGCCCTGGCACTCAGGAGGAGCGCGGGCCTTCAGTCTCTGGCGCGGCTGCCCCAGCACATCCGTGGGGCCGGCCTCAGGTGGGGTGACTTGGGGAGAAAGAAAGCCCCGGGGTCAAGCCCTGCTTTTCTGGCTCTGTGACCTGGGGCAAGTTAATTTGACTCTCCGAGCCCAGCGTGGGTTTCTCACTTGTAAAAGGAGATAATGTCACTCCCTCATGGGAGTGGTGGGAGGGCACATGACTCGCTGAGCACCTGTCTCGGTTGGTCCCCTGCTGGGTGCCGGGGCTACACCGATGGGCAGAAACTAGCTTGGTGTCTCTTCAGGGAGCCTAGGCCTGTCGGGGAATGTGTAATCACAAACCGAGGTGCGTGCTCTGAGGGTAGGGAGTGCACATCTAGAAGAGCATGGGATGAAGGGGTCCCTCGTCCAGGGGGCTTGAAGAAGACTTTGGTGCAGAAGTGGAGTGGTGCTCGAGCAGAGACCTGAAGTGTAAGCGGGGGTTACCCAGACCAGGAAAGGATGTTTGGGCAGAGGGTACAGTGTGTGCCGGGGCCCTGTGCAGGAAGGAGCACAGCCCGGGGCTGTGAGCAGGCCAGGGTGGCTAGAACCCCCAGAGCAATGGTGGTGGAGTCAGGCGTACCTGGTGAGGCCAGTGAGGGCCCAGACGCAGGACATCATAGGTTCTGTGTGGGCTTTGGGGCTTTACTCTAGTCCTAACAAAAATGTTCGGAAGGTCTCATTTCTTTATGAGAGATTCTTCTGTTTGGACCTTGCTTGACTGGAAGCCTTGAGTACCTTGGTCCTTTTTTAAATGTAATTTGAGTGGAGAGAGGGTAAGTGTTGATAGAAAACAAGCTTTTTTTGAGCAACCTACTGAAGGGTTTGGTCAGACCAGCCTGGGGCTCCATCCCCTGTCCATCCCTTACCCTCCATGTGACTTGGGCAAGTCACCCCGGCCTCCCTGGGCCGCCTCGTCTGCAAACGGGAGCCCTGGTATTACCTTGCTGTTCACCATTTACTGAGGGCCTCGACAGTCTTCTGTGTGAGGCCGACCCTGATTCACTGCCCAGAAGGTTCCCCTGAGAGCAGACCGGCGAGCACCACTGTTACACGTTCAAGGTGGGAGGAGCAAGGATGGCTTGGCCAGAAGCTTATTCATAAGAATTGGGAAAATGAGCTATCACGGGACGCAGCACCAAACTTACCAGCCATTTGGAGAAAGCTGAGCAATGACATCAGGCCCTTTGTCGCCAAGTAGCCAAATTAGTGAGGCCTGGGTGTGGGCTGGGAGATGACGGTGCCCACCTGAGTCCACTTGGTGTCCCTGAGCATGTCAGCCTGCCAAGCCACCAGGGGGCGGGGGAGGGCGGGTGCTGGGGAGCCACACTGAAATTGGGAGGGCTCCCTTTGATAGGCCTTCTCAGGACACCAGTCAGCTGAGTCACTATTTCATCAATAAGAAACAGAAACCATTTTTTTTTTTTTTTTTTTTTTTTAATCCGTGGAAGGAGAGAGCAGAAGGCAGGCCTTTTAGCTTGGCATCTCTGCAATGCACCAGAAGGCTCTCTGCTTTCTTTGGGTTCTATTTGTAAATGCTTCGCCTGTTAACGTGAGAAAGTGCTTACTCTGAGAAACCTAAGTTTCAGTCCCGAGTAGAAGGCTCGCATGGCTCTCATTAGGCTTGCGTGAAGGACAGATGTTGTACTGGACACTGAAATGTTAAAGCTGTCTGTTGGGCACATCTACCCAGTGTCCCTGGGTGCAGAGCACAGCCCGGCGCCTGGGTCAGAGACTGCAGAGGGGCCTCCCCACCCTCAGGAAGCTCAGGGACCAGCAGGGGAGGCAGATGGCAAAGGATTGATGATGAGGGAGGCCTTGGGGCTGGGGTGGGGGTGCAGGTGTGTGGGAGGGGCCCACCAGGAGGCAGATGGATCCAGCAGGCAGAGAAGGGGATGGAAAGAGCAGGGGTGCATCCTGATGTGCACAGTGTTTGCAAACTGATTGATAAGGTGTTCTGAAATAAATCTGATAAAATAATGTTCCTACAGTCCAAAAAGCAGGAGACGTTTCCTGCTGTTTATATCTACACGTGTATTGTTTTTTTTTTTTTTTTGAAGATTTTATTCATTTATTTGACAGAAAGAGACACAGCGAGAGAGGGAACACAGGCAGGGGGAGTGGGAGAGGGAGAAGCAGGCTTCCCGCACAGCAGGGAGCCCGATGCGGGGCTCGATCCCAGGACCCTGGGATCATGACCTGAGCCGAAGGCAGACGCTTAACGACTGAGCCACCCAGGCGCCCCTATATCTACACATGTGTAGAACTTTTTTTTAAAGATTTATTTATTTATTTGAGAGAGCGAGAATGAGAGAGAGAGAGAGTACATGAGAGGGGGGAGGGTCGGAGGGAGAAGCAGGCTCCCTGCCGAGCAGGGAGCCCGATGTGGGACTCGATCCCAGGACCCCGGGATCATGACCTGAGCCGAAGGCAGTCGCTTAACCAACTGAGCCACCCAGGCGCCCGCTAATTCTTTGTTAATATGAAAGCAAAGTCTGTTTTGAGTCAGTGGTGTTTGTCCTTTCTTAGGCTGGTTTGGTTTTAGCTCCCACCTTTTTTTAAAAAAAAAGATTATTTATTTATTTATTTGACAGAGAGAGAGAGAGCACAAGCAGTGGGGAGCGGCAGGCAGAGGCACAGGGAGAAGCAGACTCCCCACCGAGCAGGGAGCCTGATGCGGGACTCGATCCCAGGACCCCGGGGTCATGACCCAAGCCAAAGGCAGACGCTTAACCGACTGAGTGCCCCCGGCGCCCTTTAGTTCCCACTTCTCATCTTTATACTTAGGAAGACAAAGCCTGGTCTCATAACTTCCTGATGTACCTCAGGATTTTCTAGCTTTTTGCCTCCAAAAGAGAGCATTGGGTAGAGTCAATGTTTAGGGTCAGAGGACTAGAAGGAGCCGTGGGTGAGGGTGAGAAAGCTGGGCTTCGGTGCCAGCTCCCTCGTGGCCCGGGTAGAAGCTCGGGCAGGTCACGTAACCCCTCTGAGCCCAAGTCTCTTACCCACGGACGGGATGTTGTGAGGAGTTGCGTGGGCAGTGCTCTTGGACTACGGTGCCCAGTACCGCGTGTGGCTTCTCTGAAAGCAGACTCACAGGCAGAGATGAGTGCGCAGGGGGTCTGCTGGGGCAATGGGGGGGGGGGGTCCAGACATTGCAGAGGGAGGGTTGAGCTGGGACGCAACAGCGGCAGGGTGCCTGGAGCTGGGGGGTCCTGCAGAGTCACTCAGGATGGATCAGGGACCGAGGGACCCTGGCATCAGCCTGTGACAGGCTGCAGGCTGCCAGGGTGGGCATGACCTCGGACTGGGCTGCTCCCGTTAGCCAAGGGCAGCTCCCAGAGATGTCTGGGCTGGAAGCTGGGGTCTGGGTGGCACTCCGCAGCATGCATTGCAGGCGGTGAATTACTAAGTGTGAATGTTACTACTAGAGGTGAGTATTTTAAACATACCTGTATAGGGGGCCCCCGGCACACATTCTAGGGGGAAAGAGCAGGTGCTAGATTCCTCAGGGTGCATTGCCTGGAGCCCTGTGCCCTTTCTATCACCAGGAAGACTACAACCACATCCACGGGGGCAAGTGGACCGTGAGCAACCTGCGGCTCTACCTGGAGAGCACCCGAGGCAAGGAGGTGACTGGCAAGCTGTTCGACGAGATCCACTGGATCATCGTGCAGTCGCTGAAGGCCGTGGCGGTGAGCGCCTGGGGGTGGGGGGTGGGGGCGGAGTTGGGCTGGGGCCTGTGAGCAGAGCCACTGAGTGTGGGCGGCGGGGGGTGCTTGTTCTTTTGCCACGAATACTTGTCTTTACGGGCTCACCTCCCTCATGTCCACGTGTCTGCCAGAGGCTGGGGCAGTTTCGGGGAGGTAGCAGGGCCAGCTTCCAGCTAGGTGCTGCCCAGGGCGCGCCAGGTGCCAGACGAGTCCTGCTGGGATCACCACCAGCTCTTCTGTGCCATTGGATGGAGGAGGCCTACTTCGGCATGAGCTGACGGCCAGAGATGGCCTCACGGTGGCCTCCTCGGGTTTAGGCCTCCTGCTCTGTGACATCATGGACATCCGGACACCCACCTCTCTGCTTGTTGCCTCAAGTCTGCTGTTTGTTGGCTGGTTTGCAGTTTTTGCTTGTGTTTTGTTTTACTGTTCCAAAGCAGGAGGGCATCTATTTTTGAGGGAAAGAAAAGAAATAAACACCAGGTCACCAGCATGTGGGCTACTGTGTTCAGAGCTTTCACATGTGGGCTCCCAGATGCTCATTACCCTGTGACTCATCAGCAAAATGGAGGCTCAGCCCTGGCCCGAGGAAGTCCAGGGACAGGCTCTGGGGCCCAGGCCTGCTGAGGGGGCTCCCAACAGACTGGCCCACTGGCTGTGGGACCTGAGGGCACTCGGCCTGGCCCTGGGAGTAGGCAGCAAGTTCCGTGGAGAGTGTATGCCCAGCCTCTCGGAGCCTCGGAGGCCTTCTCTGTGAAATCGGGAGACGGTGGGGTGGGGGGTTGGAGAGTTAGCAACTTCCTGTCCTGCAGAGGCTGCTGGGACAATGGTGTGGGCAGTGGCTGGGGGTAGGACCCCCGGTTCTCCGGGGAGATGCAGTTCCACTGACTCCCCTGGAAAAACAGCCCCTGATTCTTGGGTGGTCTGCCTCCCCCACCCTTCCACCCCCCAGCCTGGTTTCCCTCCAGCGGGTAAGCCTGGACTGGCCTGTCTCCCCTCAGGAGTTTCAGGTCTAAGTCCAGGGTTTGAAGAGAGCCCCCACACCCACTAACGTGTAAAAAGGCCTCACTGTCGTGTCTGTGAGCTTCACTCACTGTGGGGTGCACGAGGGGCCCCAGGGCGCATGTCACGTGGATGCGTGCTGGGCCTTCCCACAGGCTTTGATCCAGGTAGCCTGGGCAGGGCCTGGGAATCTGCGTTGTGAGTGGCTAGGAGGGTTTTTTTTACATACCTGGAGAACAGTTTATGAAGTGGAATTGAACATTAAAAAGAAAATCCAGGGGCGCTTGGGTGGCTCAGTCGTTAAGCGTCTGCCTTCGGCTCAGGTCATGATCCCGGGGTCCTGGGATCGAGCCCCGCATCGGGCTCCCTGCTCGGCGGGAAGCCTGCTTCTCCCTCTCCCACTCCCCCTGCTTGTGTTCCCTCTCTCGCTGTGTCTCTCTCTGTCAAATAAATAAATAAAATCTTAAAAAAAAAGAAAAAGAAAAAATCCAAAGATTGTCAGTAAATAGATTGACTCTTGTCACAGAGAACGGAGGTTCATGACCTGGCATCCCGCATCCTTAAGGGCCCGAGAAGGGCCTAGCAGCCTGGTGGACAGCCTCTGTTTGTGATGAGAGGCTGCATAGGCCTTCATTTTGTGTACCGACTGAGGAGCAGGACTTCGGTCTGCTCCAGGGACAGTCCCATGCGGACAGAGATGACGGTGCTCTGCTCAGGCCTCAGATGAGTGAGGCCCAGAGACCCCGGTGATCGCTTCGTGATGTCCCCTCGGAGGCTGAGGGAAGTTTCCATGTCTGAGCCGAGGAGGAGGAGGACCCGGGAGGGATGGAGGGAAGCACCAGGGGCGGAGGTGGAGCGTGCTGGTCTTGGCAGTGAGACCCCCGCACGCCAGCACCCAGCACTGCCAGGAGGGCCCGCCACCTGGCTGCCCGCGTCTCCGAGGTGGTGGTGTCGGCCGGGCCCTTCTGAGGCCACTGTATAAGCCGCCACTTACTCTCTTGCAGCCGGTGATGAACAATGACAAACACTGCTTCGAGTGCTATGGGTATGACATCATCATCGACGACAAGCTGAAGCCCTGGCTGATTGAGGTAAACGTGCTGCTGCAGCCCATGGGGCTGCTCGCCCCCCCAGCTGCCTCTGCCCTGCCTCAGGCTCGGCAGGACCGGGGCAGATTCTGCCGATGAGATGTAACAGGGACAGATAGTCAGGTGCGACAAGCTTGCTGCTGAACAGTGAGCGCGCTCCCGATGTCTCACCTGCGAGTCCAACCCACGGAGCCGGCTTCCCTCGTCCAGACGAGCTCGGTGCCCTGGTGCTCCCGGGTGCTTCCAGAAGCATCGTGCCCCGGAGGCCCTGCCCTGTCCTCATGGGGGCATTGTTCCCATTCAGGAAAGGCTCTTCCAGACCCGGAAGCCTGTGGGAGGTGGTAGCATATGGTCCAGAGATAAGGGATGTTATCTTTTTCCGAACAAGGCGTAGTTTGGGAGTGGATTCATCTGCCTGTTTCAAGGCATGGACGGGATGTAGCAGTGGCTGGCCTAGGTGCACACACCCTTTCTCTGGTGACAGGCCTGGGTGATGCTTGCCTCAGCCGCAGTGGCGCTGGCATACGCACCTGAGGCCCAGAGCCTGCCTTGCTGGGGTTACTCTGCTTTGCGGCCGGAGAGAGGAGCTCGGGCCTCAGGGGACCCAGGGTTGGACACCCCATGAAAATGTGGGCTGTCTGTTCTGTTGGTTCCTTTCCCTGCGTGTGCCTCTGAGCACTGGTGGAGGTAGACGGCTCAAGCCTTTTAGCTCAGTCCCATTTTGAGCCAGGAAAGCGGAGTCTCAAAAGGAAATTGTGAGTGGTCACAACTTGTAGGGAAATTCACTGGGAGCCCTTACAGGAAGCTGCTGGAAGAGCCAAGTCATCAGAGAGCAAACTGTTCCAGAACAGTATTTTCCAGGTTACTTCTTATACTGCCAAAACTGCGTGCGTGCGTGCGTGCGTGTGTGTGTGTGTGTGTGTATGTGGGTGGGTGTATGTGCGTGGGTGTCTGTGCATGTGCATGCGTGGAGATATATGTAGATATATAGAGAAATCTGCAGATGCATATATAAAATATTTATGCATTCTCTTTTTCCATTTTAGAAGTCCAGTACACTATCCATTGTGCTACAGAGTGTTTTTTTCCATTTTAAACAGAGTAACTTGAGTGGAAGTCAAACTTTCCTTGATGTGCTAGATCTTAATTGTGAATAATACTTCTAACATAATAACAGATCTTAATCTTAGCATATTTATAATAATCCTGGCATTATGATATGCTAGCATAGTAATTCCAAGGGCGCCTGAGGTTCATACAGTACCTTTTACTGCTGAACATTAGCTACCTTGCTAGCAGCACAGAGACAGTCTGGCTGTTTGGGAGAAACCTAAACAACTTGAACACTCGCTGCCTCCACTCTCCCACGGCCTGAGGAAACAGCTAACCAAGATCATTACAACTGTGCCTAAAGTAAGAGTAAATAGGTGGTGACTCAGGGCCTGTGGGACTCTGCACACAGCAAATGACTGCGTTTTAACCTGTGGACATTTGACATTGCTTAGCTCCTCAGGGGCCTTATGGGACTAACTTTCTGTCTTTCAGATGGGTTTCTCATTTGGCAGAATACCGCTTTGTTGGTGAGGTATTACTCTCTTTGCCAAAAAGGGGCCCACTGGGGACGCCTGGCTGGCTCAGTCGGTAGAGCATCTGACTCTTGATCTCGGGGTCGTGAGTTTGAGCCCCATGTTGGGTATAGAGATTACTTAAAGGTGGGGGGCATTACTTTTTACTTCAACCCCATGATGCTGCTTGGTCAGGGTGATTTGGTTCACTGATTCTAGCAAAGCTCGGGGCGGGGGTCTTTCAATACTTTGGACAGAGCTCATCACACAGGTGGACACTGAAGTTATGCTTATGATCTACATTCACTTAACATTTTTTTTCTAAAGATTTTATTTATTTGAGAGAGAGAGAAGACACGAGCGGATGGAGGGGCACAGGGAGAAGCAGACTTCCCGCTGAGCAGGGAGCCCAACGTGGGGCTCGATCCCAGCACCCCGGGATCACGATCTGAGCCGAAGGCAGACGCTTAACCAACTGAGCCGCCCAGGCGCCCCTTCACTTAACATTTTTATTTGTATGATAAGTGATTTGCAGGTCATAATCCCAACCTGTTTTCAATACTATTTATATTTCATCTAATATCTAATGAAAGCAGATCCTAAAATGCTTCCTATACAAAGTACCGGACGATATTAGATATGAGCAGTATGAAATGACAGCTTGATCTAAAGTGTGTGGTAGTTGGCGTTTTCCTCAGCAGTGAGTGTGTTCACACCACAGGGATCTGTGATCCAAGTGAACAGCACAGTTCCTTTCCTCTCGTAGGTGAATGCGTCCCCGTCTCTCACCTCCAGCACTGCCAACGACCGAATCCTTAAGTATAACCTGATCAACGACACCCTCAATATTGCGGTCCCTAATGGCGAGATTCCAGACTGTAAATGGAACAAGTCACCCCCGAAGGAAGTCCTCGGCAATTACGAAATTCTGTAAGTTTGTGTGCAGACTGGGCAGCCGCCCTTGTGTGTTTCAGATTGAGGGGAGCCAGGGCCCAACCTGGGTTGTCTGCATGTGTGTGGACTTGCCTTGTTGGGCCGAGTATTTCATTTATTAATGACGTTATGGGATAGATCATGTTGTAGCGGAAAAACAGGTCTTAAACCAGGCCTTTGTCTGGGTCTTTTACTTGATCAATATTGATGATGTGTTTGCCACCTGCTGGGCACCACACGAGCCGCTGGGGCAGGGCGGAGCAGGTGGGAGATCGCTAACGCAAGCGATCTTACGGAGTTGGGAAGACGAGAATGCTCGTGATGATTGCTGACAGCTGAGGGCTGCCCACATGCCCGGAACTGTGCTGAGTGCCTCATTTCCCCAGCGGCCCCTGAGGTTAGTATTGTCATTAGCCCCATCTCACGCAAGCGGAAACAAGGTTTAGAGAGGTACAGTGGCCTGTTGGCGGCGACAGAAAGTGGGAGCAGCGTGAGAGCCTGTTGGGGGGCAGTGGTTGAGCGACGTACCGTTGGTTCAAACCGTGGAATAGAGGGTGGCCCAGGAGCTCTGGTGGGGCCTGGGAGGCTGAGGGAGGAAATCACGTTGCAGAAAAGGGCATGCGAGGGACGCGAGTTAGCTTGTCTGCATGGATGCGGCTACCGTGGGCTCTGAGGTGTGGAAGGGGAGCTGGAGAAAAGAGGGAAATAGTGCCCCAGACCGGAAGAGGGACATGTGTAAGGGTCACGTTAGTCCTTCCATAAAAGTAAAAATGTGCGTTTAACGTCCCAAGAAAACAAAGGAAGAAATCTGTAGTGAAGGTCATGTGCCGCACACAGATCCCAGGCCCACGGCTGGTAGGCATTGCTCACGTGGGGCCTCGGGCTCCAGAGCCCACGGGTGACCACCTCACCGCCTCCGCCGTGCGTGGCCTTGGTGTGTGTGTGCAGCACCGGGGAGGGTGGAGGGTCAACTCAGAAGGGAAGTGTGGGGGCCTCCGGGGGCGGTGGTGGGGAGCTGCAGGCGTGACCACTCGGTGTGGTGGGTGGTTTCCTCCAGCCCACAGTCAGTGGTTAAGTGGGCTAAGTGCAGGGTAAGCATAGGGCGCAAAGTGGCGAGCGCTGGGGCTTGTCGGGCACAGAGGAGGGCGAGGGGGTGGGAGGGCACTGGAGGTCCTGGTGGTTGCGGCCTGTTGGGCTTGGGGCACCAGCAAAGCGAGCTGGGGAGGAGGCAGAGGTCAGAGGGAGTGTCTGCAGTCCGGCCTTTGCAGGGTTGGTGGACGTGACAAGGTCGGGGGCCGTGGGAACGGGCCTGAGCTGGGGCGGAGGACGAGGTCATGAGGGGGGCACGGGGTCAGGGAGTTGGGGTCTCCTGTTTGGTCATTGCAGCGGCCAACACTTGGGAGCCGCGGGCCCGAACGGTAAGGAATTAGGTTGCAGCTAACTGCACCCGGCAGGTGGTGGATCCCGCTGACCTGGGAAGGAGGTTTTGGAGAGGGGGGGCTCCCTCCAGGCCCAGGGGCATGATGGGTAGGAGAGAAAGCACCCCCACTGGAGGGGCCGCAGGGAAGCAGTATCTTCAGGGAGAGCAGGGTTTTAGCGCGGGAAGGTGCAGGGGACGTTCCAGGATGAGGTGGAGACTCGGAGGTTTGCTGGCAACAGGCGAGTTGTGAGTGCTGCGCAGAGGAAGAGCTTGGGGGTGGTCAGACTGGGGCGTGTCCAGGGCCTCTGGGGGTGGCAGCGGGGGAGGGGCAGGGTGCCGTGCAGGAGACCGGGGCTGAGCCCTGACGGCCTCTGTGGCAGCCAGGGGGGCGGAGCATGTGAAGGAGTCCTGCCTCCTGCCAGGAGCGTGAGGGACTTGGTGGATCTGTCTTCGCCCAGCCAAGGTGCTGGCAGGCTGGGCAGTCGGGAGCCCCTGGGGCCCTTGAGGGAGGGCGGCAGACACTCCACTTCCGGTTAAAGGCCCAGAGGTCAGGGCCTCACTGCTGTTAGTGGACGAGACAGAAAGGTGACCCCCCCACCCCTACCCACTCAGCCGCCCTCTGCCCACCTCTGTGAGTCAGGAAGGCTCCAGCGCAGAGCTTCCAGGCGCTTCCATGCAGGCTTCCTCCCCAGTGCTTCGGATGACCTCACGGTCAGGAATCCCATTGTTGGCTCACAGCCACGGCCTCTTGCAGCCGTGGCCCCCCTTGCAGCCGTGGCCCCTCTTGCAGCCGTGGCCCCTCTTGCAGCCGTGGCCCCTCTTGCAGCCGTGGCCCCCCTTGCAGCCGTGGCCCCCCTTGCAGCCGTGGCCCCTCTTGCAGCCGTGGCCCCCCTTGCAGCCGTGGCCCCTCTTGCAGCCGTGGCCCCTCTTGCAGCAGTAGCCGGCTGCACGGGGAGGGAGGGCCCTGACTTTCTACCACGTCAGGTGCTCTGCCTCCCGTGGGGTGCTCACAGTGGTCTCCAGAGTGTGCCAGTAGCAAGAGCAGTGAGCCAGGCTGCCAGTTCGCTGCCCAGGGTCAGCCGCTGGTGCTGGCCCCCAGAAGTAGGCTCTCTTGTTGCCCTGATCGCTGTGCTGGCCTTCAAGCCACGAGGCCTGGCCTTCTGCGCCTGCAGCCTCCAGGGCCCCGGTCTGAAGGTGCTGGGTGTACTCGTCCAGCCTCCAAAACCCTACTGCCCAGGGGCGCCCTGGTGGCAGTCAGTTAAGCATCTGACTCCTGATTTCGGCTCAGGTCATATCTCAGGGTTGTGAGATGGAGCCCCACATCCGGCTCCGTGCTTAGCACAGTCCGCTTGAGATTCTCTCTGTCCCTCTGCCCCTCCCCCCACTCACTCTACCTCTCTAAATAAATCAATTTTTTTTAAAGATTTTTTTATTTATTTGTCAGAGAGTGCACACAAGCAGGGGGAGCGGCAGGCAGAGGGAGAAGCCTAGATACAGAAAGAGAGAGAGAGAGCATGAGCAGGGGAAGAGGCAGAGGGAGAGGGAGAAGCAGGCTCCCCGCTGAGCAAGGAGCCCGATGTGGGACTCGATCCCAGGACTCTGGGGTCATGACCTGAGCCGAAGGCAGATGCCAGCTGAGCCACCCAGGCGCCCCGATAGATAAATCTTTAAAATAAATGAATAAATAAAACACTACTGTCTGAACCTGCCAGCTACTGCAATCGGCTTGTCATTCTAGCAGGAGAGAAGCCTGCTAGAATGGGAAGGGGCCCTAGAAGACCATCTGCCTGATCCTCCTCCACATTAGCACCGCCCCTGGGAACAGCGTGTCCCAGATGTCAGCCGCTTGGCACATACACAGTGAGACTGGTAACCCCTGTGTGGTCCTTCCCCCCTTGCCCCCCATCATTCCGCAGATTCTCACTGCGCACCCACCCAGGAATGAGGTGCTGGGGGCAACTGTGAACCAGAGAAATGGGGTCATTGCAGTCCTCAGGTCAGCGATGTAGACACAGAACCAGCAACAGAGTGCTAATGGGGGTGGTGCTAACATGTGAACAGGGAGTCCAGGGGCTCTAGCAGTCCTTGGGGTGGGGGGGCCCCCACAGGCAGAACCTCCAGTGTCCCTGGGGAGTCCTCCCTCCAGCGTCATCTCTCCCTAAGGAGACGGGGGAGAGGAGGGCCCTACCTTGTTGCCCTGACCCCCATTCTGGCAGAGGGAAACCCTGTAGTGTCTGTCATGTGGGTAGCAGTCAACAAACCAGCCTTCTTCCTCCTTGCCCTTCCCTTCCGGCCCCCCGTTTCCCAGCAGAAGCACAACGCAGAAAATATATTCTTCAGCTTAAGAAGCTTCTCTCCCACACCACTCTCAACCTGCAGATTCTGAATCTGGGAATAAACATAGAACAGAAATACCCCTTTTCCAGAAGTCAGCAAAACTCAGCTAACGCAACATAACTGAGCATCTTCGTACCTTTTGCATTTGACATGAACATCCACTTATAACAGAGGATCCTCAGTCAGGGCGTGGCCACCAAAGGATACCTAGGAAGGAGGTTTAATAGGGAACAGAAATGCTTCTCACACTCCTGATCCACAGGGTGAAAAGGTCCCAATTAGGAATCCGAAGTCTTGGGTTTTACTTGATCCCACAGCCCTTAGGACACCGAGTAAACCTCTCCCAAGTCTCGGGAAGTAGGGGATCAGTCAGGAGGCTGATGGGAAGTCACCTTGGGAATAGGAGACCCCATCGCCAGAGGCTGTACCTGCCAGGCCCTGCAGGTGGTGCAGTGACATTTCTCCAGCCTCATGGACCCCCCCCTAAGAGGGGCTCACCGTGGTGGGAGAGGCCAGGGACTACCCAGATGTCCTAATCGGGCAGGGGCGCCCGGGGTTTCAGCTCTGTCCTTTCTGAGGCAAAAGCCCAGGCTCTGTTTCCTACACAGGGTCATGCTTTCACACCGCACAGGCCTGGTGCGTAAATGTTAGCGGGGAGGGGCAGGGTGGGTCTCAGCTGGTGGAGGCTGGATCTGGCCTTTCTTGTGGGGTGAACTGCCCGCCCTGTCCTGGTCCCCTCACCCTGGGGGGGGTCATTCACACCCCGTTCCCCGTCTGAAATGGGGTCAGTCATACCTGCCCACAGATGCTGTGTTATAAAAGTATTTCCAGACATCAGTCTTCTCCCTCACCTCCCTGGTGTCCCATTCATGTTTCCTTTGGGGTCACTGCCGACTTCCATCTGGTAGGAAGCTTTCATAAAATGTCAACTGCAGGAGCCGGGGCCAGTTCACAGAAGTCATTTAACAAGGCTGTACCTGTATGCTCTGTGGCCTCAGGCAGGGTTTGGTGGGCTGGCAGGCTGGAGACATGCAGGGGGCGGGAGGCAGGCTGCCTCCCTGGGCGACGTGGAATTTGCCACATTACGGCTCTGCGGCCCTGCTTGGCCGAATCCTGAAGATGTTCCTCTGTTTCTAGCTATGATGAAGAGCTGGCGCAGGGTGATGGGGCTGACCGAGAGCTGAGGAGTCGCCAGGGCCAATCACTGGGGCCCAAAGGGGGCCGATCGCGAGACTTGGGGAGAACCGTCCTCACAACCTGGAAGTGAGCACCCGTAGACGCAAAAGACTGCAGCCTGGACCCTGCCAGATACTCACTGCACCTGGGCCTATTTTGAAATTTCCTTTTTTTAGAGCTTTTTCCCCCTTTCCTCAGCCCTGTAAATAAATAAAGGCATTTCTTTGGAAGGTGAAGGAGTCTCTTAAGAGGGAAAGATGCCGTGCTTCTCCTTTCCTCTCACACAGTACTTCTGAGACCAGACATGTGGGGATTTTCCCCACAACGAGCCATTCTGCGCTCCTCTGGCTGGTGCTGGGTGTCCTACGATTTAGCTCCGTTTTGATAACCATCTGCCTGGAGCTGGCGTCCGATCCCACAGGTGAAGGGCCCAGTCCCCCAAGACGGGCCTTCTGCACCCCCAAAGCCTCAGAAGCCAATCCAGGTTGTCTCCTGTACTTCTGACCTACCTGCTCTAAGTTGGAGGTTCCCAGCACCTCTTTCTCAAGGCCCTCCGAGGGCTTGATTCCTTTGCTAGAGCGGCTAACGGAACTCGGGAAAACCATTTACCTGCTCGATTACCAATTTCTCACAAAGGATGCAACTCAGGTGAGCCAGATGGAAGAGATGCCAAAGGCAAGGTACGGGGGGGGGGGGGGGGGGGGGGGGAGGAGCTTCCATGCCCTCCCTGGGTGCACCGCCCTCCCAGCACCTCCATGTGTTGGCCCTCTGAATGCCATATTCAAGGAGATTTATGAAGGTTTCATTACATGGTATTGGTTGATGAAATCATTGGCCATCGGCTATTGATTCAGCCTTTAGCCCCACCTCCTCCCCAGAGGTTAGGGCAGGGGGGCTGGAAGTGCCCACCCTCCGATCCCTGGGTGGTCCCCCTGGCAGCCTGGCAGGCTAGCCCCCAGCCACCTGGTCGGCCATTAGCACCAACTGGCTTGGTTGAAAGGGGCTCATTAGGAATAACAGAAGATGCCCATTTCGCCTTTACTATCTGGAGCTATTTCAGGACCTGGGAACAAAACTAAATATTCTAACATTTAAAGGCTGTCCCTGTCGCTCATGGAAAGGAAACGACAGGGGTTTTAGGAACTGTGTGACAGGAATGGGGATGAAGACCAAATCTCTATAAATCACAATGTCCCATCTCTGTCTCATCAGGGCTGGAAGAACTGATTCACGAATGTCTGAAAGCAGCTCTTTCCGCAGAGAGTAACAGCCTCAGCGTGTGATTTAGTTTATTACGAGGTGTTCACATTTTAAAAATACTGTGCTGACTTACAAACGAAACCTGACTATTTTACAGAGTCAAGCTGCTGTGAGAAAGCAGGATATTTAACCCGACAGCTATTTGGGTATAGTTCCCTTTAACTGGACCGTGATTCTGAGGAAGACTGGCAACTGGAAATGTGTGTCAGTAATTTATCCTTACAGAGGCCTTTGTCTTGGTGCTGTCACTTCGGTTTTGTAGGTGAGTCTGTCAGATGAGCCCAGACAGTCCCCGCCGTGTGGCTCATCTGATGTCAGCATCTGGGTTTGCTGCAGACCAGAGGTAAGCGTCGTTGGCAGCCCACGGCCAGGACCAGCTCCTGGGGTGGTGTGCTGACGTGAAGCCACCCTGGACAAAAATGAGTGAGGTGGAGAAAAATACGGGCAACCCTGAGTCAGTTGGACAGAGTGACTGATGCACGCCAGTAACCTCTGAGACTCGGGCTCCCTATTTAGTAAGAGCCTTTTCCCGTTGGTCATACTTGACACTGTTCACTCATGCTTCAGTCATTGTCTTGAATTTACCTTTAAAACTCCCCACCTGAGGGACGCCTGGGTGGCGGGGTAGGTTAAGAGTGCCTTCCGCTTAGGTCATGATCCCAGGGTCCTGGGATCGGGCCCCGCATCGGGCTCCCTGCTCGGCACTCTTTCCTTCTGTCTCTCTCTCTCTCTCTCTCTCTCTCGCTCTGTGTCAAATAAATAAATAAAAATTTTTAAGATTTTTTTTTTTATTTGAGACAGAATGAAAGAGAGAGAGCACATGAGAGGGGGGAGGGTCAGAGGGAGAAGCAGACTCTCCGCCGAGCAGGGAGCCTGATGCGGGGCTCGATCCAGGGACTCCAGGACCATGACCTGAGCCGAAGGCAGTCGCTTAACCAACTGAGCCACCCAGGCGCCCTAAATAAATAAAATCTTAAAAAAAACAACAAAAAACCAAAACACTCACCACCTGAAAAAAAACAAAAAAGCAAAAAAACTCCCCACCTGTTTGTTGTTACAATGTTAGGAATAGGATTTTGTTCTCCTGATGGTGTGCCGAGGACATAGCAGACAGGGGTCTTTCTCGTACCTGTGTGTGAACACGTCAGGTTTATATGTCCTTTCTCGGGCATCTGTGTGCTCACTTGTGTTTAACGACGTTTCGCTGCCAGTTGGGGAAAAGGGCCTTTTAGGCGGTAGGATAGAAAGTGAGAGAGGCATCATGCAAATGGTATTCAGCCAGCATCCGAATGACTTGCAGTTTGAGGGGATTTGTCCGCAGTGTTCACTTTAAGCCTGAGACTGTTCCACCTTAATGACCTGATTTGGATGTGCCTTTTGTGCAGCCCCTAATTTGAGGTCTAATGTTGATGGCGGGTGTGGCTTTGAGTTTGAGTCAGACCTGGGCTTGAAGCCTGGCTCTGCCATTTATTAGTTTGTCCCAAGGCTATCCAGTGGATCTTTGGACCTTGGCTTCCTGGTGTATAGAAGGGGACTAATGATATCTGCTTCGGAAATCACCAGTGCCACAGCACCGGGTCCGGCCTGCCCCGCTCGCACGGTGGCTCCGCCTGCGTCCCCTGACCCAGGAGGGGCGTAATCCACATAATCCCCGTGACAGATGGCCCCCACCCCTGGCTCCCACACACGGCTCTTCCACCCACTACGTCCTACAACCCAGCTTCTCAGTCATGTTTTCGTTTTGTTCTCCGTGTATCTGGGAGCAGGGTGGAGTCCCTGGCTGGGAACGTTGACCTCAGCCTGAGCCCAGAGGACAAGGCCGGCACGTCAGGAGTGAAGTTGTTAGTTTGCCGGCCAGTGGGTTGCTAGGTGAGAACGAGTGTCTGCTAAATAGATTTCTGTCAAATATTGACTATTACATTAGTGATGTCATGTTCTGGGGCAGATGTTTCCTCTGAATACCTCCAGAACACACAGGGGCGGGAAGTGTGCGGTGTCCGAAGCAGGCCGTGGAGATTTGTGGATTATATAAATGCTATTCATCGCAGAGTGGTCCCCCTTTGGAATCGTCCAAGATGACACTTTCTGCTTTCTTATCAGCTCCCGTTGTTTTTTTCCCCTTTTGATGGGGGCTGGAAGGGCGGGTTCCCAAAGTCTGAGGGTCATTTTCACAATGGTTCTTTCTTTGTTTGATTTTTTCCAGAGCACATTCCTCATTTGCCTGCTTCTCAAATGGGCTGCTCCCCCAGTATTCCTTGGTGGGCGCTCAAGCTGGGAACCAGAGTGTGTTCCTAAATGTCTCCCCTTCCCCACCCCAGGGTCCCTAAGCCTGTGACAGCCTCCTCACTCAGATCTCCTGCTTCCCTTGGGCCTCCCCCCTGGACCCCTGCCGAGCCCCCACTAGTCTCAGCCTGCAGCCCCTTCCCACCCGGTCAGGCTCCAACCTCAGGTCAGGAGGACTTTTTTTTTTTTTTTTTTGACTTGTGGCCATTTCTCCCCAGTGTGCAGTGGTTCTTCAGCGCACTCCCCAAAGGACAAAGCCTCTTTTCCTTGGGAGGATTCAGGAGGCCCTCTGTACATGCTTTGTCAGCCAGCCCCAGACTCACCTGGCTTTTCTCTCCCCGGACTGTCCATCTTCCTCTGAGTACCATTTCCAGCCCCGCTGCCTCTCTCAGCCGACCAGGGGTGGTGCTTTCTCCCAGCCACCTGGCCCTTGGTCTCCCCAGCATCAGGCTGTCAGCCTCCTGTGGGCCAGGGAGGCAGCTGAGGGTCTGCTGCAGGGACCCTGGCCAGCCTGTCTTTGGGCCCAGCACCTGGTTCTGCTCAGCACCTGGTACTGCTCAGCGGCCAGGTACCCACAAGGTGGCCGCTGTGCCATTTAACAGGTGCAGTGCCCCCAGCGGAGTGCCCGCAGGCATTTCAGAATCCTTGGTGAGACAACAGGAGCATCATCCAATTTTATTTCCTGTTTCTCATTTGGGAAGACAATGTATTATTATGTCTCCTGATTTATCCTAGCCTGAACTATATTGTATCTCACATACTTTTAAGTTAAAAATAGCATTTCTATACTTTTGTGCCCGGGAGCGTTCAAAGCGGTCCATTCCCTGCTCACCACCCCCCATGGCTGGTGCTCCTTGAGCAGAAACAGAACCTGGGGGACCGCGGTGTCCCCTGTAGGGAGCCACAGGCTTCCCCCGCCTGCCACTTGTCCACATTTTTTTTTTTCCATTTTCAAATTTAGCTCCCTTGATCTTTCTCATGTAAACTTGCTGCCCGGTCGCTCCTGTCGGAGCCCACGTTCTCCTTCTAGGTCCTCGGGTGGATCTTCAGAGACGGCGAACTCCTGAGCAAAGCCTCCTTCCAGGATTCAGGGGCAAGGGAGCTGTAGCTTGGATGGGGCTTCAGAGGTGGCCAGGCAGATGGCCCCGTGGCCGTGTAGCCCCAGCGGAGGTGTAGTGGGCCTCACTGACCCCCACTGGCAGCAGCCTCTTGGGCAGGGGACCAGGTGTACCCCCCAGAACTATGATGGCAGGGGCCAGGGGGACCCTCATGGCCATCTGCACCGGGATACTGGAGGCTTGGCCAGGTTGGTGGCCCTGGGGATGGCAGCGGCCGCTTCCTTGGAGCACCTGACACCCACTGAGTAGCCCCCGGAGCCACATAGGCCTTCGAACCTGGCCCCTGGGTCTACTGCTGCGGGGACATCCTCTTGAGAACCTCGGCCTCAAGAGACGTCCATGACGACACTTCTTGGCGGGTGCAGTGGGTTGGAGAGTGCCCGTCCAAAATTCATGCCAACCCAGCACCTCAGAACGTGACCTTATTTGGAGGTAGGTCTTTGTAGGCGTGAGGAGGTAAGGATCTCAAGGTGAAATCATCTCGGGTTTAGGCTGGACCCTGGGCCTAATGACCGGTGTCCTTATCAGAAGAGAGGACACAGACACAGAGAGAAGGCCACGTGGAAACGGAGGCAGAGATGGGGCTGAGGCAGCCCCTGGCTACGCAGCGCTAAGCAAGCCGGAGGCCACCAGGAGCTGGAAGAGAGGCAAGAACAGCCTCTCCCCCGGAGTCCTCCCTCAGCGGGAGCCTCCCCTGACAACACCTTGATTTCGGACCCTGGCCCCCCAAACCGTGAGAGAATAAATTTCTGTTGTTTCAGGCCACCTAATTTGTGGTGATTTGTTACAGCAACCCTAGAAAACCAATACAGGGGGTAGGAGAAGCAAGAAGTCCAGGGGACTGGCCCACTTGGGGACCGGTGACCCACCCCGTTCTCCGTCAGGTGTGCCGCCTCCGCCCACCCAGCCTCACGATGAAGGCTGGCACGGGGGTGTCGTCTGGGGTGTGTCCTTGGAGAAGGGGCACGCCTCCTTGCCTCCTCGCTCCGAGGCGTCCACTTCCCCAGCTGGTGGCCCCAGTTCTCTGCTTAGCTCTCACCTCAGTGTCCTGCCAAGTCAGACGCTTTGGAGAAAGCCAGAGTTTTCTGGGGGGTTTTGGTAAAGTGGTCACTCTATGTAAATATGATGGCTGTTACCGGCTGGGGGGACTCCCTGCCTATATGGTGCCCATACCAGTCCGCGCCACTGGTGCTTTGTGCCCCTGGTGTCCGATTCAGGGCCTTTCTCAGTGCCCCCCCCGCCCCCAGAGGGAACTTTCAATTCCAGGAGGGAACTGAGTCTTCGTGATTTTTGTCTCCTGCATTTGGTCCCCAGTGTCACCTCTGTCCCTGCTCATTCCCCCACCCCTCACTGCCTCCAGCCCCCCCGCCCCAGCTGCTTCTCCCAAGAGCACACCTGAAGGGTCAACTGCTGGTACCCGGATGCCTCCTGCGGAGAGGGAACCATGGGGGCTCTCTCCTGCTGGGGGTCTCTCCTGTCATGGCTGAGGAGTGTGGGCAGACCCCAGCCGCCCTCAGCTCACACCTGGGGCCTGATGCCCATTCTGGCTGGAACAGCGAGCCGGACTGGCCCTGAGTTCCAGGTGTGCCCCACCCCCACCCCGCACAGAGCAGAGGCCTGCGGCTGTCTCATTTTCGTGCTGTCCCAGGCCTTCTACCCTGCTGGCCTGGGTGGTCCACAGCCAGCCGGCCGGTGGTGAGGAGAAGACATCTTAAAATGCGGGCACCAGGAGCTGTTCCAGCTGGAGAGACCTCTGACATCGTCCCCGAGGAACAGAAAGTGGCCCTGGCAGCCGGGGGTGGGCCCGGCCCTCACAGCTTGGTGTCCTCACGTGGACACGGAATATCAACACCAGACAAGCCCCCTCTGACTGATAATCAAGAGAAAGACAAGACCCGTCGGTCATCACTGAACACGGACGACAGCATGAACATCGTGCCGGCCACAGAATGACCAAACCCAGTTCTAGCCGGCTGCAGGCCCTGTGGACTAGGGGTTACTATTTATTTATTTATTTTTTCCAGTAAGCTCTACGCCCGGTGTGGGGCCCGAACTCACAACCCCACGATCAAGAGTCGCACGCTGTACCGAATGAACCAGCCAGGGGCCCCTGGACGAGGGTTATTGAGATGCCCCCTTCCTGACAGCGCCCAGTCCGGAGCAGAGCCCCGCCTCCTCAGGCCCCCCCCGTGCCCCCCCAGCACCCGCCCAACACCCTGTAAGTCCTTCCTACCCCCTTGCCGAGCACCCCCAGCTGCCGTGGTGGCTCTCCCTCTAGGCCACGGGCGATGGCCCCTCCAGTGTTGGTGGGGCGAACACGGGACTGTAGAGAATTTTGTGTAAGGCTTTCCTATGGGGGATTTCATTCGTTGCCACGTGGCTAAGGGTTAAGGTTGACTTAGGTCGGCAGAGGCCCTGTTTAATCTTGGAGAACACGTACACCCATTTTTCTCTCAGCCGGTGCGGCGCGCGGTGAGTGGTGAGGGAAGAACGGGCGAGGGCCTCGCAGGCCTCGGGCTGCTCTGCACGGGAGCTCCACACCCCGCTTACTGCGGGGAGGCAGCCGAGTGGCTACTTGGCTTACAGAGCATTTTCTCACAAAGCCTTAAGGGCCTACTAAATAATAATAATAATAATACCAAATATCCCAGCACTAATCGGTGGGCCGCGGGATGCTGCCCGGTCCCTCACTGGGGGTGGGGGAGCCTCCCAAGGTCACACAGCTGGTGAAGGGCAGGGGCTCCACTGGGACCTGGCAAATGTGACTTCCAGCTCTTTCCAGCCCAGGGTGCTGTCTGCTGCGGGGGCTGTTTTGATAAAGAAACACCAGGTCACTATAGCAGCGGGACAGTATCTGGCGACGGGAGTGAAAGATTATAATCGAGACATATTGGCTGTCACTCTCCATAGATAAGGTCTGGGGTGTGGAAGCGCACAGGGAGACTGCAGGGGGTAACGGAACAAGGACGGAAGAACCGGCTCTCTCCGGGCCCTCCTGCTCGCTCGCTGTGTGCCTGTGAGGCAGTCACTTAGCTTCTCTGAGCTTTGTTTCCCCATCTGTGCCTGCCTACCTCACGTGGCCATCCGGAGGAAGGGAAGGCTGTGAAAGCGCCAGATCACTAGTGGCTAGCATGTTGGCTACATCTTTTGTTTTAAGACTTGGTGGCTGCCCTTGAGTTCACAGGCTGGTTCTTGTAAAGACAAGGCCTACGCAGCATAGGCTCAGGGCTAGAGAAGTGGTATGGGCAACACATGCTCCAGTAGTGGTGATCTGGGGCGGCTTCCTGGAAGAGGAACAGCTTCAGCTGTACCTTAAAGAATGAGTGGAAACTTCATGGAAAGCAGGGGCATAGTCAGGGGTAATTTCAGAAAGATGCTTCAGGGCCATATTGTGAAGGATGTTGGGGATACCAGGCTGAAGAATTTGGATCTGTTCCGTAGGCACTGGGGAGCCATCGAATGCTTTTGAGGAGTGACAAGATGGGTGTTCTTAGGGGCGTGAGTCTGGGAGGTGGTTCGGAGGATGACAGAAGTGGGAAGAAGCTGGAGGGAAGCACAGCAGTGAAGAGCTGAGGAAGTGAACTCAGGCTGGGCCCTGAGGGAGGGCCAGTGGGAGGGTGGGGGGGGGGGGGGAGTGGCTTCCGCACACCTGGGAGGGAGAGCTTCAGAGCCTGGAGCAATTCTCAGTTGCCCAGCAGGGGGTGTATGTGGGGAAAGGGGTTTGAGCCTTGAAAGTAGAATTAAGTAAACATTACAAAGCTAGTGAGTTGTTTTCACTCCTGAGCCATGTGAGTAACACCGCTCTGAGTGTTCATGCATAGTCTACGCAGACCGATGTTTTCATTCCTTGCGGGTGGATATCGAAGAGTAGAATTGCTAGATCACGGGTGAATAGGCTTTTTAAGAAACTGCTGAGCTATTTTGTAAAGCAGATTTGTGCCATTTTGCATTCCCACCAGCAGTGTGTGCAGTTCCCCACGTCCTCACCAGCACTGTCTGTCTGGCTTTTTAATGGCAGCCGTGTTTGTGGATGTGAAGTGGCTTCTCCCTGGGGCTTTGATTTGCATTTCTCTGATGACTAATGGTGTGGAGCATCTTTTCCCGGGCTTATGGAGCGTGCGTAGGTCTTCTTGAGAGAAGCCATGTGAAAGGGATGCATTTGTCACTGCTGGCAGGAGATGGTGACTTACCTTTAATTCTGTGGTGGAAGGTTTCATTGGCTCTTCCACGAAGCCTTTACTGACAGCTCTTGTCTACACTGGTGTCTCCTTTCTCTGAAAGTGTAAAGCAGAAGTGACATCATATCTGAGGCCTAATGCCTTCCAAAGGAACTGCCCCTGGCACTTAAAATAAACTCAAGCTCCTCGCCTCTCTGGCCTGTCTCCCACCACCCTCTCCCTTCTGCACCTGCTCATTTTGCTGGAGCCACAGCAGCGGCCTCTGAGTGCCTCAGGGCCTTTGCACCGGTGGTCCCCTCTACCTGGAATTCTCTCCCCCTTGCTCGTTGCAGGCTGGCTCCATCTCACCCTTTGGAGCAGCCTGGCCCTCTCCTCTTAGAGAAGCTCTCCTGACCATCCTTCCCTGATGAGCCACGGTCTCTTATCACCTTCTGTTTGCTTCAAAGCGTTGATCACTGTCTGGGATTATCTTAATCAGTTGTTTACTTGCTTCTTTACTTTCTGCCGCACAAAGCCATCAGCAAGGGCCACCCCAGCCTTCAGCTGGCACTGGCCTGGCAAGAGCAGGCACTGGATAAGTGACCCTTGGATGACCGGCCCGAGGAGACTCGGGTGTCGGCTCACTTGTGACTGTCCTCACCCTCCACCCGTGTGGCTCCTCCTGCCCGGGCCTTTGCCATCCATCCCCAGGCTGAGGTGAGGCAGAACTTGAGGTCAGGGTGACATTCCGTCCTGCATGTCCTCGATGGTCACTTGGTCATTTTTGGACAGCGGTCCGAGCAGCAGGCCTTGGGGGCATTGACAAGCCAGAGCAAGGCCAGGCAGTGTCTGAGGAATGGTTTAAAATCTGAGGAAATATACTCTTTAAGAAGAGAAGATTTAAGGGTAACACAAAGTATTTGAAGGGCTGTAGGTGAAGAGGAGTCATAGGTGATGGGATATTTCATGGGGGTGTCTCAGAGGGCAGAAGAAATGAGGAGGATGTCGGTTTGGCTTAGGGAGGGCCTTTCTGTTAGCATTGCCTATTCTGGAATGGTTCCTCTTACGAGGTAGTGAGCCTCCTGTCCTAGAGAGAGTACCACTCCCCGGGGTGTGGTAGAGAGGATACAGCATTGAGAAGGCTGGAACAGGTGGCTTGTCGGGCCTTTCTCCCTCTGAGCCCCTAGGAATCCCCTCAGCTGAAGGTTCGTGCCGCACTGTCCCAGCGTTCAGAGGTGGCCTAGTGTTTTGATCTGGTGCTTCTGGAAAAGAGGAAAGCACCATTTCAGGGCAGGGTGAGGGAGGCGAGCCGCGTGCATGTGCCAGCCTGGGTACTGGCCAGCAGGGAGAGGATAGGCCCTACTCCAAGGCCCCGGGAGTGGATTTTCCGCTCGCTGGCTGAGTTGTGGAATATTCCTCTCCCCCACTGCAGGTCGGCCCCGGGAGGGCAGGGGCTCGTCTCACTCACCACGGCATCCCCAGTGCCCACAACAGCATCCAGCACGTAGTTGGTGCTCAGCCGACCGGACTTCAAAGCCTGGCTCTGGAACCCAAGTCCTTGGGAGAATCCCTGCCCACTCACTTGTCGTCTGCTCTCAGCTCCTTTGCCTCTCAGCATCCGCCTCCTTGTTTGCTCAGTGTGTGTGGTGATGTGAGGGTGACCGTCATCCCTGCCAGCCAGGAGGTTGCTCCCCTGCTCTCCTCGGTGGCAATGATCTTTGTGGCTGGGTCCCGCCTCCTCCATTCCCACTGTCCGTCTGCTGGGCAGGCAGTTTCCAGATCCCACCCACTGGCTCTGGGGGAGAGCACCCTGGCTGGTGGAGCCAGGATGTGGATGGGTGCCAAGGGAGGGTGAACGTGGTGCTGGCTGAGCGCTGGGCTGCGTGAAGGCTGAGTCACAGCCACAAAAACTGAGGGGTGTGTCCTGGTGATACAACACTCACTTCCGGCCAGGAGGGTGCTGTGTCTCATGGCTCAAGGCAAGGGAGCCCAAACAGAAAGGCTTTGAGAAAGAAAGGAAGCAGGACAAATGGAAAATCTGGGAATCCCCTTAGCTTGTGAGGATCTTTGGCGCCTCGGCTCCCCACCGGCGTGCGGCCTGGCCTGTCACGTGGCCTAGGGTGGCTTTCCCGTCTGCAAATACAGGTGGACCTCTAGGCACCGCCTTCCCAGCCATCCATGCCCCCCGGGCCCATGCACTGTCTTGTCCCAGGACCACAGCTCAGGCTGTGTTCCCCCAACCTGGCGTGCTCTTCTGCAACCCCCCCCCCCCACCTGCTGAAATCCTGCCCTTTCCTGAGGCCTAATTAAAACACCGTGTCCTTGAGGCCTCACGCCATTTTCTGATGCAGCACCTGCCCCCTCCTCTGCCTGCCCTTGACATTTCAGGCTTCGGGGACTATGCCCTGCAAGTCAGTTGATGTTCCACACTTACCTTAGGCTCATCTCTCTCCCCGACACTGGATCATCTTCCCTTCCTGCCTCCCCCCTACCAGCTTGAATATGGTTCTGATGGCCTCAAACATTTTCATATAACTCCACACATATTTAACCAAATTGATCACAGGTGCTTTTTCTGATCTCACAGTTCTATGACACAAGAGTCTGTAAATACAAAATGATTGCCCATTGAAAAAAATATATATATTGCCGCTTCCTGGTACTTACCCAAACGAGCTGACAACTTGGGTCCTCACAAAAACCTGCACATGAATGCTCACAGCAGCTTTACTCATAATTGCCCAAACTTGGAAGCCACCAAGATGTCCTTCAGTGGCTGAATGGATACACTGTGTTGCATCCAGGTAATGGAATATTATCACAGATAATAAGAAATGAGCTATCAGATCACAAAAAGACATAGAGGAAACTTAAATGCATATTGCCGAGTGAAAGAAGCAAGTCTGAAAAAGCTACCTACTGTGTGGTTCCACTCCATGACGTTCTGGAAAAGACCGAACTTTGGAGACAGTGAAAGACCGGTGGTTGCCAGGGGTTGGAGGGAGGGCTGGAGGGACAGGTGGAACACAGAGAATTTTGGGGGCAGGGCAACTATTCTGTATGACATGGTAAGACGGACATTATGCCCTGGTCAAAATCCATCAAATGTAGGACAGAATGCGGCCTACTGCGCACTGTGCATTTTTGTGAGTAATAGCATTGGCTCATCAACTATAACAAATGCACTACACCAATATGGATGTAAATAGTGGGGAAATCTCTGGAGGGGGAAAGGTGGATAGGTGGGAACTCTGTACTTTCTTTTTTTTTTTTTTTTAAGATTTTATTTATTTTTGGGTGCCTGGGTGGCTCAGTTGGTTAAGCGACTGCCTTCGGCTCAGGTCATGATCCTGGAGTCCCGGGATCGAGTCCCGCATCGGGCTCCTTGCTCAGCAGGGAGTCTGCTTCTCCCTCTGACCCTCTTCCCTCTCGTGCTCTCTGTCTCTCATTCTCTCTCTCTCAAATAAATAAATAAAATCTTTTAAAAAAAGATTTTATTTATTTTTTGACAGAGAGAGACAGCAAGAGAGGGAACACAAGCAGGGGGAGTGGGAGAGGGAGAAGCAGGCTTCCCGCGGAGCAGGGAGCAGGGCTCAATCCCAGGACCCCGGAATCACGACCTGAGCGGAAGGCAGATGCCCAACAACTGAGCCACCCAGGCGCTCCAGGTGGGAACTCTGTACTTTCTGATCAGTTTTTCTGTAAACCTAAAACTGCTCTAAAAAAGTCTATTCATTAAAAATAAAAAAAAAAAAAAGAAATCACTTTTTTTTCTATGGCACTGAAGATGTTCCTCCCTTGGAGACTGCGTGTCTCCACTCTGTGTGATTCCTCTCTTTTCCTCCCCAAAGGCCTGAGCCACAGGAAGAGCTCCAGGGGCTTTCCTACCATGCCCGGTGGTTTACACATCTGCACATCTGCACATCAAGGGTCTGGGGGGCAAACAGTACCTGAGCCCGGGGCAGGGGGCTATGTGGTCCTGAGAGGCCTGGGTTGGGCCCACCACGGAGGAGGGCTCTCACACTCACAAAGGTTGGGCAGAAATGGCTGCTGCAGATCCTGGCATCACTCCTCCCTTCCCGAGCTAGGTTTGTCACTTCTCTGAACCTCCCTTTTCTCATCTGTAAATGGGGAGGATAATTCCTACCCCACAGTTGGGAGGATTACATCTATTCCTGGACGGCTTCCTACTGTCGGACATGGGGATGGCTCCTTGGATCTGGTTGAAAGGCCCACGGACTTTTTAAAAAAAGGGTCCAACCTGTAATTTGACAAATGAAGACAGCAGGAGAGTTGCAGGAGATGACTTCTGTGTTCTCAGCAAGCGGTTTCCAAAGAGGGAGTGGGCTATGTGGGAGGTCTTCTGGAAGTGTCCAGAGGAGGGCCTCCAAGGAGGAGCGGTATTTGTCTGGGAGGGCACATTAGCCTATCAGCTGGTGAGGAATAGTCAGCAGGAGCCAAAGCAAGAAAGTTGGAGAGAGCACCGCAGAGCAAATGCCCAGAAGCAGCCTCCGACATCTGGCAGGGCTCCAAAGCCAGTGCTCAGGCAGACTCCCAGACCAGGGAGGCAGCCTCTGCTCTCTCTGTGCCCTCTCTTCTGAGAGACTCCGCATGGTCCGGGGAGTATGAAAGGCATGATTTGGGAGCCAGACAAGAGCTGTATGACCTTGGACAAGTCACTTTACCTCTCGAACCTCCGTTTCCCCAAGTGCAAAGTGGGATTGTTGTGAGTGGTTGTATATAAAGCACACTCATGGGGCCTGACACCATGGAAAGGGGTCATTTGGGTGGCAGCCATGATTATTATTGGGGGCTGGGAGAAACCAGGGCCACTTGAAGCACTGGACCCTCCCTGGGTGCCCAGCCCGAGATCTGCCCCAGTAGGTGCTCACTGTAGGACCCATGAATGAGGGAGTGGTGGCTCTCTGCCAAGACCTGGTCCCGGGGAGGGCCTAGCGCTGGGTGCCACTGTGGACACACCGCACGAATGCCGTGACCTGTAATTAACCCAGGACTGGCTTGCTGGGCGGGTGGACAGGCTCTCCCTGGTGCCCACGTGATACTCTGGTCAGCCTCAATGAGCACACTTGCCACAAATCTGAAATCCCAGCTGTAGGCTGGAAACAGTTGCACAGAGAACAGAATTGTCACAACAGGAAGGACGTGTTTGGAGCCTGCTGGAGGGACGGTGGAGGGAGCCTCGGCCCTGCTCTCCTGCACCCCAGGCCACCCAGGAGCGGCCAGACCCCAGATGCCTAGAACATGGCTACGAGGAGCGTGTGCTTGGCAGGGTGCTGGATTCAGCCCTGGCCAGCCGCCCCTGACCTTGGTCTTGAACTGTAAGGAGGGTTGCTTGCCCATAGCCTTTAGGAATCCGCCTGCAGTCGACCTCAGGCCAGCAGCCCCTCACTCCCACTGTCCCCATTACCTGCCCCTGATATGTATCCTCTCAAGGCCTGCTTATCTCTTCAAGGATCTACTCAAACTCTGCTTTTCTCAGGAGCTGCCCAGGACCCCAAATATTTGCTTGGGCCCCTCTGGAGCCTTGCTCGCAGCCTGCCTCCTCTGGTCTCCCACCCAGCAGGAGGTGCTCAAAAGTGGGGAATGTGTATTTTTCATTCATGCCTCCCTTGGTCCCCGGTATTATGTGTCTGCTCTGTTAGAGGGAGAGGTAGCGTTAGCGTGGGGAAAGAATGTTGGAGAAGGAACCAGAAGCCCCAAGTTTGAGAAGGACCCCTGGTGCTGATGACTGGAAAACCTGGGCAACTCACCTGACTTCCCTGGGCCTCTGCTTCCTCACCTTAGAAGGAGGGTAGGCCTCACCTGCCGTCCTTTGGGGTCTTCTGGCTTTGATACTCTCTGGTCCCAGTTGCTCTCCCCAGCCTCTTCCAGCCATTCTCCTCCCTGCCCCCTGCCTGCCCCATGCTGCTAATGTGAAATCATCGATCCCCGTGCCTGTTAACCTGCTGGCTGCTTATTCTGGTCTATCGTCCTTCATTCATGAACCTGGAGAAGAAAAGGAATATTCCTTAGTCACACACACTTCTGAGGCTCTGCCACATGGCGTCGACAGCGCTGGTTCAGTTGATTCAAAACCATGTGTACTCACCCCGGCAGCTTCTAGCTTGAATCTCTCATCTGCCGCCCAAACCCAGAGAGAAGAGAAAGTGGCTGGCATGGGAGGTCCACCAGGCAGAGGAATTGCTTGAACTTGATATGAAGGGTCTTGACCTCCCCCACCTTCCCACCCCCAGTGCGGTTGTTTGGTTTGGAGGGTGGGTTTGTTTGTTTGTTTGTTTTAAAGATTTTATTTATTTATTTATTTATTTGACAGAGAGAGGGAGAGCACAAGCAGGGGGAGTGGCAGGCAGAGGCAGAGGGAGAAGCAGGCTCCCCCCACAGCAGGGGGAGCCCGATGTGGGGCTTGATCCCAGGACCCTGGGATCACAACCCTATCTGAAGGCAACTGAGCCACCCAGGCGCCCGGGAGAGTGGGTTCTGATGTGTTGTTCTCAGACTTGCTTGGACACTCCCACGGAGGGAGAAGGGGGGACGGGGAGATGAGGCGGAGGCAGGAATGAAGCTTGGGAGGAACAGAGGGCCGTGGGAGTGGGAATGCAGGCAGAGGGTGGGGCAGCCTGTGAGAGCGAGATGGTGCCCACATTCCTCCGTGGGTGATAACCTGAGAGCGAGGCCACCTCCCCTGGAACAATGTCTACTTTCCGAAGCAGCGCCCTTTGGCTCTGCTGCTCTTGGGCCAGGGAGTGTGGGAGAGGGAAAAGGAGCCTGCATGTCCACTGGGGTCTGCCAGGCCCCTCACCTGCTCACTCTTCCCTTCGCAAGCCAGGAGGTGGATCTGGCAAGCAGGT